GCATTAAGGATTGTCTACTACAGCAGAGTAAATAGGACCTGTGACGCTCTGTGGCCAGACTGAAGACACTTGGTAAAAAAGGTGGTGCTCAAATGTGTTGAGGAGAGGGGGAGCCTGGAGTTGGGCCTTTAAAGGAGGGGTAAGCACAAGGATCGCTTTGGTTTGCTGCTACTCCACCGTCTAGTTACATACCAGGCTGTATTGTTTAAAGCTTTGGTTCTTAACTGGTGGGTTGTGACCCAAAAGTGCTTCGCGCCCCCCGTGTTCAATGGGTCGCCAAATGCCTTCCACTTTTCTAGATGAGACACTCCTCAGCCTCCCCATAGCGCAGCACCGTCGGTTCTCGTGCCAAGCAGACATTCAGAATATGCTGCTTGGCCCTGCGTGTCAGCTTGAGGTGGAGTGGGCTGGAAATATGGCCATAAGGGAGCTCCGTCCATATGTGTCCTGTAGAGGTGCCTGGACTGGAGTGACGTCAGATTCTGACTTCCATCACCTCTACAGGACACGCAAGGGAGCTGTACAAGCAATGCACATACGGATGGAGCTCTGTCACAGCACAACAGCCTACACCAGGGGTGCCCACAATTTTTTGTGTTTTTAAGATCTACTTTTCAAATGACAAGCTACATGAGATCTACCAACGAAAAAAATACCTCCCCCGCTCTCTCTCTCCTGGCTGTCTCTCCTCACTCTCCTGGCTGTCTGTCCTTGCTCTCTCTCCTGGCTGTCTGTCCTTGCTCTCTCTCCTGGCTGTCTGTCATTGCTCTCTCTCTCCTGGCTGTCTGTCCTTGCTCTCTCTCTCTCCTGGCTGTCCTTGCTCTCTCTCCTGACTCTTTCCTCGCTCTCCCTCTCCTGGCTGTTATTCTTAGTTTTCTCTCCTGGTTGTCTCTCTCCCCTGTGATGGCTGTCTCTCCTTGCTCTCTCCCCTGGCTGTCTCTCCTCTCTCTCTTCCTGGGCTGTCTCTCCTTGCTCTCTCTCCTGTGTGTCTCTCCCCGCTCTCTCTCCTGGCTCACCTTGCTGTATTTTGCAAACAGTGCAGTGCAACAGGCTGTTAACTAATATTCTTTGATGTAATACATAGCACTTCAACCACCAGTATCCACCAGAAAGGTTTCAGGGAGCTTGGCTCAGCAGACTCAGGCTAATAAGTAATCATGTGTGCACAGCTAAATAAATATACCAAAATGGAATAAAGGGGCCACCATTCACCCCTTTGTGATCTACCAGGATCAGCTTTGAGAGCTACTGGTAGATCATGATCTACCTAATGGGCACCTCTGGCCTACACTGTACCCCAAGCTGAGGGTCCGCTCCAGTTCTCATAAGATAGGGAGATGGATCTTAAAAAAAAAAAAAAATGTATATTGTTGTTTTAGAGTGTATATGTGTGTGTGAGAAAATGTCGTGAGTGTGTGAGATTGTGTCTGTGGGGTCCGTTCACACTAGTACAGTGCGCTAATCGCATAGTCCCATAAGATGAATGCACTGTACCATGCAATCTTACCTACTGCGGGTTCTGGTGTGGAAGATGTGTTGCATTGCCATTAATTTGAAAGACCCCCCCCCAACTGCTCCTCCCGCCCACAGTCCGATCGTCTGCACCCGAACGCCTGGTACTGCATTCCCGTGCATTCCATTGCAGTGCTCCTTGGGTCACGACTTAATGACAAAGGACAAATGTGGGTCCTGAGGTTACACAGCTTGAGAAATACTGTTTTATAGTATGCACATTTGTCATCTATGAAACCTAATGTATGTAAAATGTTATGGTGTGCATGTTCCCACATCAATACATATTTAGAGATATTTCATATTTTATGTAACTTTGCAGTGCAGCATGGGTTTTTTTGTTTTGTTTTTTTCTTGCCTGGGTTGGCATTATTTTCTATGCAGCTCTTGGACAAGAAGTCTACTGTGGGTAGCAAAGACACTGTCATTGCAATACAATCTTCTTTTGAATATCTTCATGTGTGATACTCTTATTGGTATATTATGTGTGAGCAAAGCTTTAGTATCTTCTAACTTCTTTTGTAGGTAGGGCTTGTGGCAAGTGTAAAGAAAACCTTGCGCTGTAGTGGCCTACCACTATACCTGCAGCAGCTTGTCAGCGCCTCATTCCGCACTGCAATCATTTGTATCCAGGCTTTGACTTTACAAGGCTGTTCATACAATTTAATAAAAGTAATGTAATAATTTGGACGTACTCACAGAATTGGGTTGACCAAAAGATAAATGGAAACAACAATGATGGCACGTTCCCCCAGATTGTTTTTAATAAGCATGTTATTTAGTTAATCAGCCTACCGCAGTAATGTTTTGAATCTGGCTCTGCCAGACAAATTTGTTAATGCCTTTTTCCCCTCCCCCCCTTTTCAGGGAACATTGATTCCCTGCAGACATATCTCTATTAAACCTCTAGAAAGTCACAACTTCCAAATTAGATTAAGTAGCGAGCACGGTACTAGAGGAATCAAAGAAAATTGAGTGTATTATTGAATTCATGCCACATTGTCTGCAGAAGGGAGATGCTTTGTATGGCTGCAACGTTTGTCCTTACTATACTAACAAAGATGTGGCCGCAGTCATGTAATATCATTTAGTAAAACGCATTAGGAAATCTGACGCATGTCCTGCTGAAGGAGACACGGCAATCTGTGTTACCTTTCTCTAGGAATTTAGGTATACAGCGTATCCTTGGAGTAGGCTTTTTTGTTTTTTATGTAATGTGTAGCTTTCCACTGTAAGGTTACCTATGCGTTTTAATATAATGCTTATACATTGCAAGAGAGGATGCAGCCATGTTCTGGGAAAATTGCTGCTAATGTGTGACAGCCTCATACATATTTGGTCTAAATACAAGTTAACATAAATGTAGAAGCTGGTTTATACTCTAACTTTTCTAAATAGATTTGCTTTTGTTTCATTTTCTGTAACGTTTTGAAATGAAATTGAAGCGTTTCACATATATTTTGCCTGCATTCTTCTTTTCCATTTCCTGAAGGGGGTTTAGTAAAATGTATGCATGTGATGGTTTTCATGCATTTCCTTGCAAATCTGTCTTGGGTACATTTTGTCAAAGCATAGTTAAAATGTGGGACTTTGCAAAAGCGCAATTCATGAAACCGCTGATAGCAAAACTGTATCAGGGGACACTATGCATCAGTTACATGTGTGCATGCAGGGGACACTATGCATCAGTTACATGTGTGCATGCAGGGGACACTATGCATCGCTTAAGTGTGTGCATGCAGGGGACACTACACATCAGTTACATGTGTGCATGCAGCAGACACTATGCATCAGTTACATGTGTGCATGCAGGGGCACTATGCATCGGTTACGTGTGTGCATGCAGGGGGCACTAGGCATCGGTTACTTGTGTGCATGCAGGGGGCACTAGGCATCGGTTACTTGTGTGCATGCAGGGGGCACTATGCATCGGTTACGCGTGTGCTTGAATACTTGAATAACTACAAAGGTATAGACAAAGAAAGCAGAAAATAATGTAGGAATTACATACGATACAAAATAATATTTAGGAATGAACAACAATGGAAGACATAAAGGGAATCATATCAATATCAATAGAGTAGTAATAGAGTAAACCATTGAACCAAAAATAGAGGGCATCGCTTAAATTCGACTCTTGGAATCAAAGCCCCAAACAAAAACAGGGATACAGGGATACTGCCCAATGAGAACAATATGTCGAGCAGGTTCAGGAAAAGTGGAATAGAGCATTAATAAGTACTAACTATATCGCACGGGATACACATAACCCATCAAATCCGTAGACGGTCTGGGTCAAAATTCAACGAACTATCAAAGGTGATCCAAGATTCCCAAATTTTCTCGAATTTAGTGTAGGAATCATCCAAGATAGCTGTCAATTGTTCAGTTATCAGCACACCTGTGACACATTTTTAAACCTCCACATAATTAAGTTTAGGGGATTTCCAGGATCTAGCAATTGTCTGTTTAGCAGCCATGAATATGTTGGAAATCAAGCATTGTTAATCCTTGTGCAAAACAGATACTCGAAGTATCCCTCTGTATCATGCGAAGTATATGGGAAGGGACCAATATTGGTAAGGCCCCGTTCACAATGAGCGATTTTATCGCGCGGTAATTCCTTTCCCGGCGGCAAAAGTCGCCGGGAGTCTGTTTAAACAGCCCCAATGCTGGCGACGTACGCCATACGTCGTCAGTCACGAAGGGGTTAATATCGCGCGATTTGCGAACCGCTCAATGTGAACGGGGCCTAAGACTCTGAATACATAAAGTAACTTAATAATACTATGTAACTATGTAACTTAGGAAGAAAGGACATTTTAATAGCATGAATTCGCCCTATCCAGGACACACGAAAATCTTTCCAAGAAATCAGGAGTTGTTTAAGTTGGCATATCAATATCGGGTAATTTGCTTGATAAAGTGTAGAATATAAGGGGGTGAGTTTTATTCCCAAATATTGAAGGGACGAAAACCATGGGAAAGAGTATTGTAGTTGTAACTGTGATTTCGTAGTCTCCTGTAGAGACACATTAATCGCTTGTGATTTATTTGGGTTAATTTGCAAGCCCGAGACTTCCGCAAATGTATCCAATTTTGTAACTTTCTCCTATTTTCAGTAAGATTCGTCCAGCCCTGGTATAAAGTATCCAACTATTATATTTAATGCATCTCCTTAATAGCCGACGATATGAAAGTTCTTGCTATATGAACTTTGGCCCACTTTTACTAGAGATTGACACTTGAATTCAGGCGTTTTTAGTGCTGTTATGATTTCTGTGTGATTTGGTATGTTAATAATAATAATAATAATAGGTTGTGTTTGAACAATACCTGATAGATACTTATCAATCTTAAAAGGAAGTCGCTGTTTTTTTGGTCTTTTAAATGTATCATAGGGAATACTGGATTGATGCATATAAATCTGCGAATGAAGTAGCTGGTTTGTTTTTTGAAATGCATTGGGATATTGTGTTCTTTTTCAGAAACATTCACAGTCGCGCAGCCCAAGGACATGGGAATGCAGGCGTCCAAGCACAGGCATTGTCAGTGGCAAAAGAGCGCCATCTAGCTGTCGCTTCTGCTCTCTGGAGAAATTTCTTCCCGTTCTTGAAGAGCTTGAGACTTTCCCAAACACCTCCCTCCCAGCTAGCTGACACGGCAGCAGGTCAGTGCTCTCCTCCACTTTTTTTCCTTTAAATCTCATGTCCTATTTTATATTTAATTTCTATTATAGATATATTTGAATGCATTTCATTCATTTCTCCAAAATATCTATCTTCACATAGTTTAGTATTTATCCGTGATTGTTTTTTTTCCTCTTCTGATCAGGCTACACACTTCTGGCTTTAGACATACCTGGTAGTGCCCCACCTGAGCTTCAGCCTCAGCCCTTTGTTTCAATGATGCAGCTATTTGGATGGGATGACATGATCACTACTCAGTTGGTGTCCCGCTATCTGAGCCATCTAATTGCAAATAGGTAAGATAACATTCAGGAAATTCTAATGTAATTGAAGGTATACATTTGCTTAACGGTCACTGAGGTTGAACGAAAAAAAAATGTAGTACATCTGCACTAACAGCATGCATGTATGAGTCTTCCGTTGTGCACATTGTATTCTGAAAGCAGCATCCGTCACTGTCAATACCTAAACAGTGCTTGCAGCAGATTGGCTGCTGTTCGTCTGATGATTTTTCCTTTGGCAAAAGTCAATTTAAAGATTGACTTCTGTCAAGGTGATAAGACTACCCAGGGATCGAATTTTGGCCAATTCTTGCTGAATCAGCTGAAATTCTCTCCATGCACCCAGATTTACTCTTCCAAAAATAGTTTGCTGTTTATTACATTGTAGTTTTGGGTAAAGTTCTCTGTTACATAAACCTGTAAATAGGCGCACTGTTTGCTAGTGCACGTATGTTAGACGTTCTGTCATAATAAATGTAATTAACAGTGCTCTTTTTGCATGACCACAAAACTGTGCTTCATCAGTCACAAAGCTCTTTCAAGTATGCTGGTCACTGTAGAAATGAGGATACCTTCTCTTCACAATTTATTTGAGTCATAGTAATACATTATAGTGGGCTCAAAGTCACAGCGATTGTCTCTAGAGGACAGACAGATTTGTCATCTTCCATCCAACATCTAAGGGCAGACTTTCTGCCAAATAGCAGAAAAAAACGCTCATTGTGATGAGGTTACTCTGTAGCTGTATGTTACCCACCACAACTATTTCTTTGGCCATTAAAGGAGAACTTTGAGGTGAGTGAAAATCACTCATTCTCATAGTTCGAGCCGGCGTGTGACAATGAAACTGTCACAGGTCGGCTCAATAGATCGGGAAGTCAGTGAACACATACCATCGCTCGCTCACTTCTCGATCATCTCCCTGCAGAGAGCGGTGGCTGTCAGTCACGGCTCCCTGCAGGGATTCCCCCCTCCCCTCTCTGATCCTACAGCACTCACTGGAGGAACAGACGGGGGAGGGGCGGATACAGCTGGCTCTGCCTCTAGATAGGCAGAGCCAGCTGTCACTCACGCAGCTAGGTGGATCTCGACAGTGATGTCAGGATCCGTCACGGTAGGAGGTTAGTATATATCCTCCCATGACCCCTAAGAGAACTATGGGGAAAACCACTTACCCCATTTTTCTCTTTTAAGGACTAAGACCTAAATGGCTCAATGTTTTTGGAAAAAATTGTCAAAATACATTTCTTGAAATAAGGTGTATTAGCACATGAATCACAACCTACAGTTACCTTATGGTAAACGGTCTGCAGGGCACAGTCTGTATAGAGGTGCCCGCTCATAGTGATGACTTTAATAACATCTATGGTGACAGGCTTTTGTTCACTTTTAAGTGAGTTTTGCATAGCTATGAGAATGCAAAATCCACTTGAGGCAGGTCAAATGCAGTTCAGAAGACGGCCACATGCACTTGTCATTGAATTTTGAATGGTCTCGGAAACATGTCAAATGGATGCTGTTGTCACAGGCTCTAAAAGACATAACTAGTGTGCCTGTGGTCCCTTTTTTTGGTAACTCACACACTCCTCTTTGTTTAAGCAAATACATTGTTGTATCGCCACTTGCAAAATGGTTCTCCGTCTGTTGTGAACTACAAATTCAAGAATGTCCCACCAGGCAGACCCTGACGACATGTGCTGTGACTTGAAGTTCCACAACCGCTGGAAGGCCACACATTGCACACTTCTGCTGTAATGTGTTCCAATGTGGTGACAGCTTTGAAAGATAGCGCATTCAGCCATTTATATCATCACACCTAGGAGAAATTAAACTTCTGTAATGCTCATTAAGCAATTATTTAGCCTCTAAAGATAGCTGTGTAATTAGGTCTCAGAAAGTGAACGCGCTAGTCAGACACAATCAGGTCTGTTTAACGGCACAGTGAAAAGTGCAGAGATGTGCAATAACGCCTAGGAACCAATCATATTTAATCAGTTTGCAGTATTTCAGGCTATGAAAGCTGATTGGGTACCGCTCACTGTTTGTCTTATTATATGGAGGTCGCTGTTTAATTGGGGTGTTTTATGTCACATTATAGCTTCGTGAAGCTTAAGTAACATTGAAAAGCTTTTTAATTACGTTTTTTTCCCCCTAGAACATTAACAGAGGCTCTCAACGACATGGGAAATACAACTTTTCAGACCCTGTCAGTCAGAACGTGGAGTCGATGTGTTTTGCAGATGTATGTTGATCAGCCAGTGGGTGTTACGATTCGAACAGACACTGAACAAAGTAAGTTTTATGTCTGAAGAATTCTCATGCAGTAGTTTGCCATGTCATGAAATATGGTGGTCATTTTTTTTTTTTTCATTTCCACAGAATGCTGAAACGCTTAAGATTTCTGTTGCCTCTATACCAATCCACAAAATATTAACTGCAGCACTTGCTGCTCAAGAAAATTCACATTATATTGGGGCTAAGACCTGGCAGTACTTGTGGAACAGTCAAGATGTCACCTAATTAAATTTTAAAAAAAAACTAATACACTGGGCCATTTTGCTGTAAGATCTAAGATTTCTAGCTCAGATACTGTATGTAGCTTAAAGAATAAATAAAGCCTCCATTTTTTTTGCATATATCTATGGCTAGCAAGCAGTAGATCTATGCAAAAAGTGTGAAAAGAAAAAAAAAAACGCTTTAACAGAGGTGTGTCTTCCCTGCGTGCTCACCTGTGTCTTCCCTGTGTGCTCCCATCTGAAAATGTGAAGATCCCCGGGGGGCCGCAAAGCATCTTAGGGCGGGCGCATGCGCAGTTCACATTTCCAGCCGGGACGCGAGGAGAGACACAAGGTAAGTCTATGGACGCGTGCACCCGCATGCAGACACCGTGGGACAGGAAGTGCCAGCAAGCTCAGAGGAGTCAGCGCTGGATCGGAGACCGGCCGCAGCGCTGGAGGGACAGATGAAAACGACAGGAAAGAAGATCGGATTAAGAAACATCATTTAAGGTAAGTGCTTTCATTATTGGGGGGGAGGGGAAAAAAATTTGACTTTAATGTCACTTTAAAGCCCAGATCCCCAAAATGTAGAGTGCAAAAACGGCTGCTGGAAGTGCAGAGTGCCAACAGTGTTGTGATATCTTAATGGAATCTATAGTGGTTTTTGTATATACTTCTGTTCAGTACTATACAAGTAGAGTTGTTAGCACTTGTTAACACTTCCAGACAGCAGAGTGAACTCTAGCAAGAGTCATAAAGTTGCTGAAGTCTCGGGGCGTCAATTAAAACATTTACATAGACATAATTGTAAGCATCAAGCGCGTATATAAATACATTTATACAGCCTGTATTTCATGCAGATAGTTGTACCTTGTTAATATTACAAGTCTGATTTCTGGTTGGATTTTAATTTTACAGCTTCAGCAATTTCAGAACAGCTTAGAGAACTAACCCGGTTAGTATTCAAGCTTCCTGAAGTAGAAAACATGTTCGTTAAAGCTCAAATCGAAGCAGCAAATTACATGCAGGATCCAAAGACTGCACTTCTGCAGTTTTTCAAGGTAATATACATAGACGCAACAAATATTAAGCGTATGGTTTGTGTCTATTTAAATTGACCTGTTTGTACACCTTTTACTTTTGTTTCATTTTGGTTAAAAGAGAACTATGGTGTAAGTGTTTTTCCCCACAGTTCTCCTAAGGGTCACGGGGCGACATAAACTAGCGCCCTCCCGTGACCCAAAGCTCAATATATATCGAGCTACAGATCGCGGTATACTGAGACCGCTGCAGCTGTCGACATCCACCCAGCTGCGTGATTGACAGGTGGCTCTGCCTATCTAGAGGCAGAACCAACTCTGCCCGCCCCCTCCCCTGTCCGTCCTGCCAGTCAGCGCTGGAGGATCGGAAAAGGGAGGGGGAATCCCTGCAGGGATCCGTGAGTGACCGTCATGGCTCTCAACAGGGAGATTATCGAGAAGTGAGCGAGCGACGGTATCTGTTCACTGACTTCCCGATCTATTGAGCCGACGTGTGACAGTTTCATTGCCACACGTCGTCTCGAATTATGAGGTTGAGTGAAAATCACTCGCCTCATAGTTCTCCTTATAAAGATTATTTGAACTTAAATAGCACTGCAGTGAGCCATATAAAACATTAGCTTTTTTATTCATTTCTTTTTAGGTAGTTGGTATAGTATATAGCGGCCTACAGACCTTATCAGAAAAGTCTACCATGGTAACAAAATGCCTGGAGTATTCTGGAGACATCCTAAAATATGTCAAACCGTATCTAACGAAGAAGGGCCCGGTGGAAGGGCTGCAGATCACTTACCGTACTGTAGGTGAGTGAGCACTTTTTGCTTAAACATATTTAGGGGAATTGTACCTGCTTTTTAAAATGTGATCTAGTCTAAAGTACACGTATAACATAGACATTTACTGAAGATTGTTTTATGGGCATGACTGTCTTATACCTATCTTGGATGCACTGCTGCTGAATTTAGAGGTATTCAGAAATATAAAGCTAACAGTGGTGCATGGAGGCATCTAGTGGTGTCTGTTTTCCTGCCAGCAGCCACGTTTAAAAAGTGTTCTTATGTGACTGGCTTGGTTTAAATGGGAATTCCCAATTTTCTGGAGGCCTTTTCATGTAATAACACAGAACCCCAAGGCTTGCAATACAACCAAACCGTACTGTACATACAGATTTTACATAAGACTACATATGCGGCACCTGTGTAGCAATAAAATACTGATTTTGTTTAACATTGTACTTTGCACTGTTAATATTTTAATCACATTTGATGCCCTGTCATCTTTAGATTTGTTACTGGATGTTACATAGATTTGTCTATTCAGTGAAGAAAGAAATGCTCCTATTTGATAAAGTAATAATTCTTAGCTGATGATTCATGAAAATGTGCATAGCTGTGTTTTATTAAACAAGAGTCCAAAAAAAGAGCCATTGGAGCTTTGAGAACACAGGAAACGTCCGGGCATTATGCCTTGCCTATGAATGTTGGAGCTCAGCTTCATATGAGATGTGATTTAACTACAGAATAAGTCACACTGATTGGCTCCTGAGGGTATGCCAAATGTTCAGGGTCTGCTGCTGTTTTATCTTCTTTCTTGTCGTCTTTCCAGGATATCTTGTGCGGTACTGGGCATCGATTCTGGCCACTTCAAAAGCACAGCAGCTCCTCTTCCGCATCATCGATTACCTGCTTTTACCACATGCCTTGTTCCAACAAGATAAGGGTTTGCCGGCAGCTATGCTGACTGCTGTAATGGAGAGCCTGCCTCTCTTTCTCCAGGTACAGGTCTGAAACACGCTGGCACAGTGTAGCAGAATGTGTGTCACACAGCAAGTGCTGAAAATGTCTCCTTGCTTAGGAATGCACAGTGTAGCCCAGTGTCTGACAGAGTGCTTCTGCCTTGTGTATTTTTCTTTTCTATTTGTTTAGCTATTAGTGCTTAAAGAATAGATTTCTGCTAATACAGCATTATAGTTTTTTTCATCGCACCATTAAAATGTCTTTATCTGCTCAACTGAGAGCAATATTAGACATTATTACTGATCAGAACATAAAGGACAAAGCTATAATACTGGCTTGTTTAGTAAGAAAGCGCAGCATATGCAGTTACACCACATCAGTCAGACTCCACCTTTCAGTAATTTATGCTTAAGATAATATTTTTTTGGATGGCAAGGCCCATCTTGTTCTTGCATTCTTGAAGAAGACTCTGGTCACACGGTGTTGTAGCACTTTTCTTAACTTCCTTCTCGGTCCAGTGCCACCGGTCCTTTTTTGGGCTGAATGATACTCGTATTATTCTACTCGTATTCTGTGAGTCCAGCGTGTCACTGACATACCCCCTGCGGGGTTCATCATCAGCCAGGCTGTGTTCATGTAAAAATAGCTGGGTTCCACTTCAATCACTTGAGTGCTAAGTGTCATTTTAAAACTGCTGTCATCAGCTCTAGCAAGGGTTAGTGCTTGAACTGCCATCTGTCATTGAGAGCGCCACGGACCAGCACAAAGCTCAGGAGATAAATTGATCAGCTCCTGGGATCGTGATCTAGCTACAGAAAGATCTGGGAGGAAGCTTTGTAGCGGAATATTCCAATAGCATTCTTTATAGTACTGTGACTGAGGAGCTCCAGCAGCCATCTTGAAATCATTTATAAAATACCCCTCCAGTAACAGATTGGAGAAAGGTGTTTAAAATCAATACATTCTCAGCTTATTAGTCTTCATGTCACAATAAATCTGTTTCTCTATATGAGATTCGCTTTTACTGCAAGGATGTCAAATTTCCAAAATCTTATTTCTGTGTCTCCATCTGTTCCCATTAGAAAGAATGTCGACTTCAGAACCTGAAAGCATCAGTGTTCCCTTGACTGTGTCAAAGGAGGGCCTTTATTGGGCCTTAACCAAAGATTTCAATCTTCTCAAATGTGCCACTTTTATTAAAAGCATAGCTGGGCGGCACCCTCTTTGATGCCAGTATTCATAATGTACACGGTTAAGAAAATGCATAGACAGCACTATGTGCCAAAATTTACGAATGTACATTTTTGCTGTACTTGATTGTTTCATTCTAATGCAAAACTAAATAAATTATTGAATGAAGAAAAAAAGCATAGCTGGCGATCCTGCCATGAAAGGTTTGTTCATACACTCCCTGTTATGGAGTGGCAGCTGTCTCCCAAATGCTCTCCTGTATTAACACATAGTCACACACACTCCTAATGGAGACCACAAGCAGCCATGCCAACACAAATGGCTCAGACATGGTCCACAAGACGCTGTCCCCGGGCAATGACCTGCAGCCGACACTGTAGACAGGGAATGCCTGAGAGACTGGGGGATGGTAAAATAAGTTAATTTTTTATTATTAACTAAAAACAGCAGTTTGATGCATGGTGCTTTAGCAAATTAAATGCCATCCAATTAGAGATTAGATCTACGTTAATTAAACCGGTCCTATGGTTTTGAAAGCTTCAATTTTATAGGCCAGACCCACCAAAATTACAACACCTCTGGTCTCACGGCTGAGCATTTTCTCAGGAATGATACTAGACTGGTTACTATTGCTGATAATTGCTAACAGATAATATTGTATGTGGTTTGAGGCATCAACTTGGACAGCTTGGGCACATTTTCCTAAACTTACCATAAGATTCAAATCTGCTAATTACAAATCCTATCATTGTTTGTTTTCCGTTTTAGGGTCTGTCCATTATATCTCGTCAATCCCAAGTACAAGCTGCTTATGTAAAACAGCAGCTGAAAACCATTATTGAGCAATATTTTGGGAGGTTTTTGCCCAGTGCTCCTCAAGCACCAACTGCAGGAAGCCATCCTATACTTTTAGCCCTGTGTGATTCTGTTCAGAGTCCACATACTGTCAACCTCAGGAAAACTGTAACGCAAATCATAAAGTAAGTACATTCTGTCTATTACTTCTGTATTTGACTTGGTAGTAGTAACTTATAAGATGTATTTTTTGGAATTAATTTAGTATTAAACGCTCAAACGTTTCTTTCACTATTGAATCCAGATCAAACAAATATCCATTGCCCAGCAAAGCATTTCCTTTCCCAAGCACAGTCATCATGTTTCTGAACAGCTGCTTCTTACTTTCTTAGCTCGGCTTCCCTGAACTTCCTATCCAGTACAAGATCACAAAGGACAGAGCAGTCTTTAGCAGTTGTCCATGTGCTAGATGGGAGGGGAGAGGCTTGCCCTTGAGACACACACAGCTTACTAGCACACACAAGGGTGGCTCCATGGGACCCTGCAAAGGAAAGGTGTCATCCTAAAACAGGATATGCAAGCCAGTGCTCAGATGATCAGCTAGTTCTGCAGGAAACTAAAACTTTTATCAGGGAATAGCATCCATTGTAAGTGATTTCATTAGCATTTGCAATAAAAAGAATTGACTTTAAAGTGACACTAAACCCAGCAGTTAAATCTTAAAATGCATTCACATACCTTAGTATTAACAACAATGTATCTTATTTGTTAATCACTCAGCTGTAGATCCTCAAATCATCTCTGAATTGGTGCTGATACTTTCCCTCCTTCTGGAGGGTTGTTACTTGTGTTCCCCATGGTCCCTGTGTGTGTTGTAGTCACCGCTCCAAGCTCACTCCCGTGATGGACTACAATCTCACATTTAGTTTACTAATTTGTAGTGAGATTATAATCCATCATGGGTGTGAGCTTGGAGTGGTGGCTACTTTACAACACACACAGGGATCATGGGGAACACAAGTAACAACCCTCCAGAAGGAAGGACAGTGTCAGCACCAATTCAGAGATGATTTGAGGATCTACAGCCGAGTGATATACATATAAGATACATTATTGTTCATAGTTAAGGTACTTGAATGTATTTTTAACGTTTACCGCCTGAGTTTAGGGTCACTTTAATATCACTTTAATCATAATAACAAAACATTTGTATTTCAATAATTCCTTTTTTTCTTTTACAGTGACAGCTACTTGCAGTTCAAAGGCCAAGCCCCACCTCCTCGGTTAGCCTCTGTTTTGTCTTTCATTGTTGATGTTTTTCAGCGAACTAAGACCATTGATGTATCAGATGCTCAGTTCCTTCTTCCTGCCATCTTAAAGTGCATGATACTTGTCCATGAGCCTCTGGGTAAGTTAATGTGTCTGATATAAGTCCTTTATTGTAGCATTAGCAGACTGGGCTTTCTTTTGGCAATAATTTTTTCTATGTAATCTCTAGACAATTTTGCAATTTTTTGCTGAAAAAAAATATCAAACAAAATGAATGAAAAGCAACAATATTTTGGCAGGAGAATAATAGCTAAAAGTTAAAGGGGAGAAAGGAGTATATTAAGGCTGATTAGAATTAATAAGGAGGTAAATAGGAATACATTATATTTAAAAATGTAAGTAGATTATTACATGCAATCAATAAAACAAGGATTGTACATAGAACAATATCGGACCTCTGAAAAGTACAAGCATGCATATGTACTCAGTACTTGGTTTGGGCCGCTTTTGCAGCACTTACTGCAATTACTTTTGCACGATATTCTAATTATTCGAGTTTCACCTGTAATACTGAAATAGTTAATACAAAAACACCTTGTTGCTTTGTCTCAATGACACTCGCAGACTATCTACAAGTGTAATTTCATACAGGAGGAGCTGCGTTATTAAAATCCACTCCTGCTATGTCATTTTGACAGCAGGTAATAGTGGCAGAGGGAAAGGATCTGAACATAATAGATATGTCATAAAACCTCAACAACATTTCTAGGACACGTCTCCTACTTTTAAAATCCGTAAGTGTTTAAAGTATAATTAAACCTCTTCTTTTTTTGTTGCATATGTCTACTGCTAGCAAGAAGTAGACATATGCAAAAACATTTTAAAAATGAGTTACGCCACTCGCTCCCGTCCGAAGATCTGTAGATTCTCGAGCGGCTGTGAAGGATGATGGGGTGGGCACATGCATAGTAGAGATCTTCGACCGGGAGAAGAGGCGAACCACAGGGTAAGTCAATACACGCAGCTGGGAGCGTGTACACACAAAGACTCAGTGGGACACAGAAGACACAGCAGTCAGTGCTGGATCAGAGACCGGCAACAGCGCTGAATGGACTCCTGAAAACTACTGGAAAGAAGATCTGTTCAAGAGGCATCATTTAAGGTAAGTCTTTAAAGCAGCATGGGGGGATGGGGGGGGGCGTATGACTTTAATGTCACTTTAATGAAAGGAAACTGGGCCTTTTATTCATGCTTCAATTCTCATTAATGGAGTCCAAGCTTGTCATCCGGTATATATTTAGGTGCTTAATGTCAGTATTCTCAGCAATGGGCCTTCACCATGAACAGTGGAAGGAAGCAACTCTAGCAACCAGTCAGATTCTAGCTTTGAATTTTATACATGAAAATGAACCCCTGCTTTGGTGACACTTTTTTTTATTTCACTTTTGCAAGTATGAGGCCCAGCCTGACTGATTTGTCTGAGGTTAAAAGCTTTAAAAAATCAAATCTATCACATGCTGAAAAACGATTGTAAAGTAATATCTGGAGAATAGCTTGCCCATATTTTTCCTAGAAACAGGACATGCACACGTTATCAAATGTGGATTTGCCTGGATAGCTAACCCATGTGTAACATTTGGCATCCACGCTACGTGTTTTACTTTGGTCAAATAACGCACTACTGCAAGTAGATTTACTGTTCATTGCACAGTTGCTCAGAGCTGTGATGGCACGTATGTTGGCTTGTAGATGTTTTTTACTTTTTAAACGTCAAACATGATACAACACTATTCTTGAATTATCATGTAGTACACAGTGCTTTTCAGCAGTAATAGGTTTTTACTGTAAAACAATTCCCCCTAATGGTTATTAGAGGACCTACATAAGATAAGTGGTGAAAAAGTATGCGTTTGAACTTTGACTTACCTCTGCCCTGTCTTGTTTTACCGACAGTCCTTTGTACTAAGGGTGTTGATGGAATCTAAAATCTCTCGACACTGGAAAGTCTTTAAAAATGTTGCTGATTGCAGCCATGGGGTTTTGGTTTATTCAAGTTTGTGTCCTTAGGCATATCTTTCTGAATATAGTAACTGCAGCTAAAGCACAAGGAGATTCCCATACCATTGTAATTAGCGGTACAGGTCACACCTTTTTGTATGTTGGTGCTATGCCGGTTTTGAAAAAAAATCTGCATGTACATTAATGCATAAGGCAAGGCTGCACTCATTTAACAGGAAATACACTTCCGGCAAATCTTAGACAAAACATGCATGCTTCTAAAATGTTATGCCGCACATTAACAATCAGTGTTAAAGGGTCAGTCTACCCAAAATGAATAGTGTCGGTTTAGCTATGTGCTAAAGAGTTAAATCGCCTAACAATTTCTCTCACGGACAATATTGATTATATAATATGTGTTTGAGTTCCTGGGTCCTGCTGTGGTCCCATTCTTTGTGTTGATTTTTAATTCATTTTTTATCCTGGAGAATGTAATAGGAGTTGCTGAAACACACAAAGGTGGTGGGAATAGCCCAAGACCTTACTGCTGAATTATACAGGTTTACAGGCCTACGATGAGCAGTAGAAGTATTTCTTTTTTTTTTTTTTTTATTAGTTTTACTCTCCTAGAACTGTTCGATGGTTTTATTTTATCTCGTACTGTTTTACTTGGTCATTTTCTATTTAGTAATTTGCTTTTGTATTTCAGTGAGGAAGCTTTCTATCAAAGCATTGCAGCACATTATTGAAGGCTGTCGAGAGGTTCCGCAAGGGGAAGCTGTATCATATGTTACATGTATTTTAAGGTAAATCTGATGTCACAGTTCTGAAACAAAAGAACCTTGGCTTTTTTTTCTTGGAACTTAAGGTAAATTAGAATTCTTCAGCCATTGGTTACAGAATGGAATTAGGATAGGTATAAAACACAAGGACAAGATGATTGCTCAATCCTAGAAGGGTGTCAGACATCTTTAGTAGTGTGTACATAACTGAATGGAAAATGTTGTGGTACTTTATTTCTAAATAACTGTATTACCCATTGTAGACTTGAGGGAAAATAGGTGATCTAGGTCTACATAGCTCTAATAGCCATTCTATACTTCACCATTACTTATCATGGTCAGGCTGATTATCATTGTCTGGCTTGTGAGAATGTATCCTGTAATTGTATTATATTTAAAAGTGAAATTGTTAAGCTCCATGACGTGCTTAGGAGTCTTTTGAAGAGCTTGCTTCTCAGTTTACTTACGTTTACTTATTTCCTTCACATGTAGGCAATTTATTCAAGAATATTTGTGGATGTATGATCATCAGATATTTGGCATCTTGGAGACCCTGTCTATTTTAGACCAGTCACTTGTTGTAGACCTAATTCCTACAATTTCTGAAAGCTTGATGGCATCAGAGCATAAGCGCGGACTAGGAAGAAATGCAGCTTCTAGGTATGTTCCTGTTACATAGAATTGACTCAGAGCGTTGCATTTAAATGACCGTCATAATGTTTTCTAGATTTTCTCAAAGCACTGCCTCTCTCCATATAGTATTTATATAAGAAAAGCCTGTAGGAAAACCTCATTCCTTTAGAGTTTCCTGGTGGTTTACTAAAGATCTCCCATGCCTTTGAGATGGTAAAGAGAAGCTTTGTGGATGGGTTTTCCCCAGCCCCCCTTGAATCCTTATGATAATGGTATTGAACCAGACGTATAATGGTATTGAACAAGATGGATAAAGTAAATCTTTCCTGGACAAAATGTTAATACCGTACAAGTTCCTCCACAGAAGCTCATGTATACCCAAAAGTCATAACTCCATTTCATAGGAGTATCTAAACATGGGTCTGCTTTAACCCCTTCAAAGCCACTGATGTAAGGCATTCTGCACAACCCCTTCCAGCTGTCCGGTTTAGTATGCCTGGTGGCTGCATTGCCTTATGCTATAGCCTCAAACTATATAACTACAGCTACCTGCTGTATATCCACCAGTCCCTTGGACATGCAGCTTTTACTATCAGTAACCTTTTGGTTATGCTTTTTATATATATATATATATTTTTCCTGTCTGAATTTTCCAGTTTTGTGACAGGATTACAATGTACCACCCCTCATCCTAATACTAGACATTGCTGAATGGCCACTGTGCCAAGTGAAAGACCCCCTGTGTTTTCACAGCAGAGGGAAGTCGCTCACCACAGCAGCTGTAGCAGGACTCGGAAGATCACTGTAAAGCACTAGTAGCTCCAGCTACTAGTGTTTGCAGGATCTGTGGCTCTGCCAGGGACAATTTATGTATACTTTGTGCCAAGTTGGACCAATGTAAGAGTATTTAAATAACTATAGCTGGAGTTCAGCTTTAACCCTTTTGCTTCCGCCAACATATGACATACAGCAATCACTTGTACCTTGATCTTCTAAGCAACCCTTTTGATGGTTGCTTTTACCTCTAAAATCATTGATGGCGAGGAGATGGTGGGGAATGTGAAATGGCAAGGTGACAAATGTTGACAGCATTAAGAAAAGGAGCTCATATGCTACCATTTTGATATCAACACTGAAATGATGGGCAGTAGATAGTGGATTAACCTGGATGGGACTACAAAAATCCAAAACGTTGCCAAGATGTACATGCATTGTATGTACTTATATTACAAGTCAGTTATTTATTTCCATCCACTATTGCATGACTCTGTGAGCCCATAGACAAGTCAGTGAGAAGTACCTCCTAGGAAAATAGATGTTAGATCATTGGAGCGTCATACCAGATGAAAGGAAAGCCAGTCCATCCTCTGAATGCTCTCAGGTGTTTTTTATATTTGATTTTTCTTCTATTTTAAAGTAAATGCATTGTTTGTTTACAGGGAGGCTTACAAAAGATTGCTGTCTCACTTGGGTGAACTTGGACAAAATGAGCTCCAGGCACTAGAAAATGAAAGACCGTCATCCTGAACCAATATCGAAAGTATTGCTAAGATACAACTGTCGTGTTCCGTCGAAGCTAAATTCTGTAGCATTTTATCAGTCTACTTAAGGATGGTGTTAACTTGGTTCTGTGAAATTCAACGAAAACAAGTATTTATGTTGGACTTACAGCAACAAAGCCATGTTTCTTGGCCTCCCTAAAATGTGCAATATGAACTTTTACTCTGTCTGAGATCTCAAGTAAATATGTAAATATCTTTTCTAAGGAAATATTTTTAGATGTTTTGTAATCTTCACATTTTTTGTCTTTTTTTTTTTTTTTTTTTATTGTAACTAGCTGTATAATATGCACCTTAGCCTCAAAATAATGGATTTTTTTCTGAAGTATACAATATTTTATTTCTCTAGTGATGTTATGTTAATTCCACAAAATCAGGTCATAAAATATATTATAATACTTGTCTTATTTATTTTCCTTTCAGCAAGGTTTTTTAAAATGCAAATTCCTATGTTAAAGCGCTGCACAAACTGTTGGTGCTATATAAATCCTGTATACAAATAAGGATTATAATGTTAAAATGACATTCAGTGATGTACTTATATTAACGGAAACCTGCCCTAAGGACGCATTAATGCTGATATTGCTGTCTTCCCTTCTAACAATGGCTGGTTGTCATGATTTTCCAGTGGCTTTAGTGACTCAAAAAAAAGGATTAAAGTCAGAAACAGGCAACAGCCTATTTTTTTCAGTCATCTAGTCAACGTCTAATGTACTAACTAAAAAAAAGATAAATACCTCCATACATGTAATGTATACAAGACACCTTTTTACTGGGTTTAGAATTCTGGTATGTCCGCCATTGGAGATTCTGTGCAACCCCTTCTGTCTTCCCACAAAGCAGTGCTCAGTGGCAGATCTCTGGGTTAAAGCACTTTCAACCCTTTGCCCATGATCTTTGTGGGGGCAGCAGTCCCAATGGTTGAGTAAGGAATAGGAGAATGCCAGTGTGTATTTATGTATGTATACTATATTACCAAAATTATTGGGACACCCTCCAAATCATTGGATTCAGGTGTTCCGTGAAATTTCCTTGCTACTAAATATTCCGCAGTCACTTGTTAGTGGTATTATAGCAAAGTGGAAGCAACTGGCAACAGCAGCAACTCAGCCACAAAGTGGTAGTCCATGTAAAATGACAGAGTGGGGTCAGCGGATGCTGAAGCGCACAGTGCGCAGAAGTCGCCAACTGTCTGCAGAGTCAATATCTACAGACCTCCAATTTTTGTGTGGCCTTCAGATTGGCACAACAACAGTGCCTAGAGAGTTTCATGGAATGGGTTTCCATGGCCGAGCAGCTGCATCCAAGGCTTACATCACCAAGTGCAATGCAAAGCATCGGAGGCAGTTGTGTAAAGCATGCCACCACTGGACTCTAGAGAAGAGGAGACATGTTCTCTGGAGTGATGAATCACGCTTCTCTGTCTGGCAATCCGATGGACGTGTCTGGGTTTGGCGGTTGCCAGGAGAACGGTACTTGCCTGACTGCATTGTGCCAAGTGTAATTCTTCACAAAAAAGTAAAAGTAGGTGAACTGTCTAAACAAGATCTCTCTTATGTGAGGTGTAGCTTGGCTGTGAGACATGTTTGCAATGCCATGCATTCACATTAGTATTTAGACACTGGCAAACAAAAAAGTGACCAGCCTGCTATAACTCCTCCCACTCTAGCATGTGTCAGTTTGTTGCTAGTGTCATGGAAGAATGGATGCCTTTTCTCTTCTGACGTTACTAGACTGTAACACACTGCGTGAGCCATATTTTTATGTAGTTATCCAGAGTGGGATTCCCTTTGCAATAGTTTTTAGAGGTCATCCCTGGACTCCACTCGACTGGTCGATTTTGCTTGAAGTAAACTTCGGGCACTGGGCTTGGCTTATGGTGCTTTACAGACCTCTGTGTACTGTGTTGGTTAGACGCAGAGAGCATTTCCATATCTAGACTTTGGGCAATTCTCTGAAAATGTATTTGTGTGGGCTGAGCACCTGGACCTGGAGTTTGCACATATTCACACACAACACTCTGTTCCCGTCTGTTTCTCCTACAATGACCTGATCAGCCACTGCCATTTGAACCTTTCCTGCTTCCAGTTGTTGGTTCATAATTACTCAAGATTGTTACCTTGTATTTGAACTAAATGGTAACCGTTTGCAGGCAACATGTCGGATCACTAAAATGGGGAGTAGTCACGCTGTATCAGGTCTCTCCAGCTCACAATCCACTAACCATTCTGGGGAAGCCTGCAGTGTTCCCTCTCAAGAACTTGACGCCAACTGCCTGAAATGTCCACCGCATGGGTCCTTGCATCACTCACATTCCTCCTCGGCTTGGGTGTGGCTTCCTCTGATTTAACATGGGAGTAGGGTGTTCACTGCAGTTATTCAGGATGTAATGGGACAAAGTGCAGTGTTATATGTTGACTCTGAGCGCATAAGCATACCCCTAGCCTTCCCCTGCAGAATATTCTGGTCTGCCTGCAGCCTCTGAGGCTTTGGTTACCGAGGCTTTATGTGATGAAGAGTCTCGCATATCCTTGCCAAATGAACTAGTTTCTGAGACATCACAGGCAGCTGCCATAACTCTAAGCCATGAGTTCATTTGGTTAAAAATATGTTCTATCAATATCTTCAGCTCCACAGGCATTTTTGGCCCAGAATAATGATACCCTGGCTGTTGCTATCTCTGCTACCCCTACATTTGATATTGTTAGGTATAGTCCAGTGAGTTTGTATGCATTTTTTGATGCAATTCCAGGCCAGAAAAAATTGTCTGGAACGGACTGCGCTTGTGTGAATTGAGCCCAGAAATAACAAGCTGTTCTGGTCTGGACATGGTGTGAACAAGCCCTTAATTAAATTTGGGATGACATCCTACAGAAGGTATAGTCCGTATCTTTATCTAATATTCATAGACTGGCATATGGGTACCTCCTTAACTCTGGACATTGACTCTTCTTTTTTGGGGCATCATGATTCTTCACCTCTGGATAAGTATGCTTTTATGGCAATTACAAGATGGCTGTTTGCTGCTTGTAGTGCGTTGGTTACTTAATGGGTTCAGTGCCGTAACAATCACTATAGTGACCCAGGCAGCCGACATAGGGCAGGGGGGCCTGGCCCGGACAACCGCCTGATGCCGTGCTGGCTGCCTGGGTCACTATGGCATCTCAGGCTGCTGGCTGTCACTGGCGGGTGTGAGGAGGAACGTGTCACTGTTAGATCACTGACAACCTGTCAGTGACATGTGCAGCGGCGCATTCCTCCTCACAGCTGCTGCTGAGTCAGTGACGACCAGAAACGGAGAAGGCGGGGACCGCAAGCGACCGTGGAGGAGGAATCGAGGCGAACAGCGGATCAGGGCTGACAGGTAAGAGGTGTGCAGGGGTGTCCCCAGTAAATGATAAGGCGATTCTCCTTCATTGTCTGGCTGTAGTTAGAGCTGTTAATTTCTGTCTCACAGTCACTACCTCCATTAGGAAGACTTCTTATTTTTGTTATCCCTAATGGTCTGCTTGAAGGGGAACCAGCTTCTCGTTCCACCATTTCTAGGTGGTTTAAAAAAATTCCTAATTCAAGCTTATGGTCTAATCAAAGTTTCCCCCCTTCCTGTCAAGGCACACTCTTTACTACAGGATTCGGCAACTCGGGGTCCTCCAGCTGCGCTTTAACTACAAATCTCAACATGCTTCTGCCTCTGGGAGTCATGCCTGTGACTGTCAGTCTTTCAATGCCTCATGGGACCTGTAGTTCCACATCAGCTGGAGGGCCGTTGTTGCCCACCCCTGCTCTACTAGATATGTGAGTGCTTCTTCGGCTTCACAGCATCAGGCAACTATTTTCCAAATTTGCAAGGCTGCCACTCTCCAAGTTTTAACAGGCATATGTTCAGGACACTTGTGATGTCTTCAGGCATAATGTTTATTCTTCAGCTTGTTTGGACTGCTTTTGAACCTCTAAAATGTCTCTGAATCCTGCGTCCTTCAATGGAAAAAAAAAAAGAAAACCGGGTTTTTGTGCTTACCAAGAATTATTTCTTGGAGTTCATTGGCTAAACCTCTGTGTTTATAGTCTTCCTCTCGTCACTGCTTTGTTTCAAAACGGAGGCATGGTGGGAGTGGGAGGGGTTATGCCAGTCTGGTCACTGTCTTTCTTGTTTGCCACTGTCTGAATCCACCTAGTTTGTAGTACAACTCAAATGTGTCTGAATCCTGTCTCCTTAACCACTTCAAGACCAGGTGTTTAGACCCCCCTTCCAGGCCAGGCCATTTTTCAGTATTCAGCGCTGCGGTACTTTGACATTTATTCCGTCATGCAACGCTGTACTGAAATTAATTTTATACCATTTTTTGGGGGCAGATAGAGCTTTCTTTTGGTGGTATTTAATCACCACTGGGGGTTTTATTTTTTACTATATTCAGGAGAAATTACTGAAAATTTTTTTTTTTACATTGTTATAAAACAACTAATATTACCCACTTTTTTGGTAAAATATAAAAGTTGGGGTCACGTCGGGTAAATAGACACCAAACATGTCAAGCGTAAAAATTGCGCGCACTCGCAAAAAACTAGCATACCCAAAATTGGCCATAGGCGACGCTTTAAAAGCTTTTACTGCTCATCAGTTTAGTGTTATCAGTGATTGATGGCCCTAAAATTATTGCTCTCATGCCGACGTTCGCGGCGATACGTAACATGTGCGGCGTAATGGGCGCAATCGTCGTTTTCACAGGTATGCGCACCTGACGCATGTTTACATGCGTGTATGTAGGGGTGGGGACTTTAAAAAAAATGTTGTTTTTTTTAATTCTTTTTTATGTGTAGCTTTAAGAAAATTTGGGGGGAAACTAAAAAATTTTCCTATTTTTTTTTCACTTAACTTTATTGCTATCACAGAGGGGGCTGAGAAACCCCTCCTATGTGATAGCAAAATTGGGGGGGGGGATGGCGCACGGGACCTTTATACAAGCGATCCGCCGGCTCGCTTGTATATTAACTGGCATCGTTGCCTGTTTTCAAATAGCGGCGATTTCCCGCTCGAGTGCGCCCGAGCGCGTGTATCCACGCCCAGTTACATCCAAGGTAGTTAAATGAATTTGGGGGAAAAAGGATTTTGCGGTGAGTATAAAAAAAAAAAAATTCCTGTTTTTGTTGGCATCAGACAAAACTTGTCAGAAGGATGTCAAATGCACCTGTCAATGAATTCTGAATGACCTCAGAAGCATCTCAAACTGAAGCAATCAACACAAGTCATAATTTATATCAGGGTTAGCCAAACTCCGGCCCTCCAGCTGTGGTGAAACTACAAATCCCATGATGCATCTCTCTCCGGAAGTCGTGGCTGTGAGAATCTTGAAATGCTTCATGGGACTTGTAGTTCCACCACAGCTGGAGGGCCAGAGTTTGGTTACCCCTGATTTATATGGAGGAATACGCAAAACGTTAACTGATCTCAAATGCCTATATGCTCTACCTCTAAAGATGGTGTGAAAAAAGGAATGCAACTAAGGGATGACTATTTCAGTAAGTTCAAGCTCATTCACATTTCTACTGTTGCAGATGGCAGTTTGTTCACAGAGTGGATCAGCAAAACAAATACACGCCATACTCAAAAGGTGTCTGTACATTTTCTTTTATTTATATGCACTTAGGTGTGCTATTCAGTAGCTTAGCAGCAAAGGTGATGGGTTAACAATGCAACAGTTGTTATCACAGTTGCTTGTATGTTTGTTTGTTTCTTCTTAGCATGGATTTCAATGTAAAATTCTATTCCATAACTAAGAACAGAGCAATATGGAACAATATGTACAGACAGAATGGAATTACCAGTACTTTGACATTCCTTAGTAATCAGATACATTAGGTCAGTTGCATATGTAATGCTGTATTGCCCTTGAGAAATCATTGTTCGTGCTTCACAAATATAGACGTTTATAGGATAGGACACTAGAACAGATGCTGTGAAAAGAAGAGGCTGTGTTAGATTGGACTGCATGTAGTAACTATCACACATTTTGCTGTTGATTTAGAAATAATTTAGGGAGAGTAAAACAACCACATATTGCATATTCACTGTTGCCCACTGAAATGTAATCCTTATGTCAAAACAAAAAATCAGTGCTATACATAATTTTCAGGCACAATGATACCCTGCCCCAAAAGAGCTTACAATCTACTAGTTGATGCTTATGGCATTAATAGTGGTCAGCTTAATATCACTGCAAATGCTGATAGCGTTGCGTCAAAATGTATTGCACTGGCATTAGGGGGTTTACTTTTGGCACCCTGTCGTTTCTCTTACAGCTTTCCTTTAACGTTATCCGTCATTTTACATGGTGCCAATCCGGTGGTGAGGAACTTGTAGAGTCTGCAGATTAGGACACGTGAAGTAAGGAGCAGGCAAAAAGCACGTTGCTATCCCATTGGAGGCAAAAGGCAGTGTAGGCCCATAGAAAACTTCTTCATTGCCTTCTCTGCTAACATCCAGCACCTGCCAGATAAGGATCCAAAAATGTATTACTGTACTTTGTTTAAGAATAGCAATATACATCACCCACAGCAATCATGTACTGACCTACAGAATGTATGCTGCTTACACTGTAGTGTTTAACAGTGCAAGTGAATGCACACTTACTACTCTTTGTGAAGCTTGTGTAAAGGAGGCCCTAATTTTACAAACAGTGGGGGGAATTTATCATTGCACTTGCGCCTATCTGTTTGCATGTAAAATATTTGGCTTTATTTGCACCAAATGTATCGTCCCATCCTATGATGTCTTCATAAATGCCATTTGTAGATTACTTCTTGCTACCTCTTTTTCCACTGCAGCCTGGGGTGTTGATTTCAACAGCAGGGGCCCTTGTTACCCTCCATAGACTGTGCAAGTGCTGGAGTTCAAATATGATCCATAATTCTTGATTTAAAGCCAAAATCCAGTACATCACATTGTTGCTCACCCCTCAGTTGGACTGCTTTTGGACATCCTAACAGTATCTACATTTGTTTTGCAAACATGTGTTTCTCAATGGAAGAGAAGAAAAATAGGATTTTTCTACTTACAAAGAAATCCTTATCTTGGAGTCCATTGAGGGGTACAGGCCCCAACCTCCTGTGTTAATGCTTATGCTCTGCCACAAAACTGAGGCATCCTGTGAGTACAAGGGTTTATCCTGTGCTGGCCCACAATTTTTTTAATTTGCCAAGTTCATTCCTTCTATAGATGGTGGCACACCATAACAGTACCTGAATTATTGTGCCCCTAAATTAACCTAAAGGTTGTTATGGGAAGTACAAAAAAATCCTGTTTTTTGAGCTATGCAATTACTTTCAGCTCTCATTGGCTGTCACTACTAAAAAAAAAAATGTTGATATGCCAAATCACAGCTAGTATAAAACTTATGAATTCATCCAATGCTATTTTACACTGAAGCAACAGAGTGAGCTGATTGCCGTGGTAAAGCACTGTCAGGTGGATGACTGGAAGTGTTAAGTGTGCTGAGAAGGGTAATCCTCATTAATTTAGACATTGTAAATAAGCTGATAGTAAAATGTAATGTGGCTTTCTGCACCTACAACCGCCTGCTGTGCTGGATAGCAGCGAGCTTTCCAGAGCCTACAATTCCAGGATTTTCTATAATGAATATTGCCACCAATTGTTATCCAATACAGCAGGCAGTTTAAGATGCTGAAGAAATCCACAAGCATGCTTTCCATATTTTATTTCCAGGGCAAAATGGTTAAATGTAAATTGAATTCCTAATTTCTTACCTGTATGCACGCCAAAGGTTCATTTGTCCAAATAGAGTAACCACCAACCAAGTAAATTCTTGCATTATGTACTGCAATTCCAGATTCATTTTGTCCTTTAAAGGAAAAAAAAAAGAAAACATTTGCCTGTCTGCATATGTTTCAGAAGTGCCCAGAATATTATCCTGTTCTGTACACACAAACCAATATGGCATTTCTCATAAGCATGTCCAGTGTTACTCTGTTAACAAATCTCTACTTACGAGTCTCTGGGCTTATTTAAACCAAAGCACATGCAGCAACCTTTGCTGTACATTAGTGCGTGCATTATCACGCATCACATATTTTATTATGCAAACTGGTGGAGGAACATTTGAAAAATATGGATTTTTCCATGGTGTTGATGCACTAAAAATGCTCAAAAGCACATGACACCTGACTTTTTTGCGCAATAGATTACATTTCAAATGACCAGCTTAAAGTATAGCTATGGCCTCCCATTAACAAAATATGTGCTAGAGCACTTAATTATCTGTGCCTGTGCATTTACAGTTTTCTGTAAGTCTCCCTGCAGAGTCCCACAAATACAAATTGTGCCAGCCAGTGAAGTCCACCTAATGCAGCTTCCTGTGATAGTGTAACAACAATGCTGCACTGCTCTGTAGTTCAAAGCAGCGTTGTCACTAGGCTGTGTTTGCTTTTGCTACAGTGAGATGAAAACATGTTACTAATTCACAAACGTGTAGTTTGTCAATCAACACCTGTCACACCCAGTCCTGCACACTGATTTCTGGATTGACAGCACTGCCTCTGTTGCTGAAACCCTCCCACTGTGCTCTGCAGTGTCTGAGAGGAGACACAAATGGATAGGGATGTTCAGATACCAAGTACCCTACTCGGTACAAGTACAGATACTTTTCCAGCTCCAAGACTAGACTAGAGAAAAATGCAAAGTTAGGAGGCAGCTGTCATTTGTAAGGAGCACACGAAGCTTTTGGTATTTGTGCATCCCTGTTTTAATTTATGATTTTTATTTTTTATAAATATATATAAGTGATGCAACGATACCATTTTTTCCAAGTACAAGTACTGATACTTGTCCAAGTACTCACAGATACGAGTACTGATACATTTTTGTTTATTGTCATGTGACAGTTTTTCTAAAACAATACAGACTAATGATTTTCGGACAGAGGTGGAGCGCCAGAGCCAGGTACCAACTGCTGAAACCCTGCCAAGTATCGGCACTGGTATCTGAACATCCCTACAACTGGAGGATTTGGCTCACTCAAGGGAAGTAATTGAAGTTTTTTTTACAAAGTAATTGGATTTAATACTTGTATAGACTGTCACATAGGAGCCTTTGGTTGCTCTTTAATGCCAAAATGCCTAATGTCCATTTAAAAAAAAAATCGGAGCTGTACCACAGTAGTGTGAAGTAGCCACATGACGATAAAGCAGATTTCTACTTAAAATCTATTTCATGTGTTAACACCTGTTTATCACGTGCATTATCATAGAAAAATAGACAAGTGTGAATGGGCCCTCGGGGTGATGTGAACACAACCTTCTTTTACTCCTATTTCTAATCTCTTCTTGTCTCAGGGTAAGTGAGACCTTGGTGTCTATACTAAATACTGCATTTTTCTTAACAATATCTTTACCGCTTTGTATGCTGAGATGACTCTGAACTTGTTTTCAGGTTACTGATGTTTTTGTTTGGTAGTTTTAAAATCTTAGAAAATTTAAGTTTTTTGGTTATGTTACACATGGGCAGATTATCCAGCCATTTAGCTGCTCTTTACTTCTTGATCACTCTTTTTTAGGACAGTCTTTAGCTGACAGCTCTGAACCTGGAAATGCTGAGAGCACCGCACTTCTGAGTTCATAGTTACATAGTTACATAGTATTTGAGGTTGAATAAAGACATTAGTCCATCAAGTCCAACCTATTAGGATCTCATTCTAGGAGTACCTGTAACCCTGTATATTACGGTCCCTTAAGAAATCGTCCAAAAGTTTCTTGAACAATCACAGTAATCACAGAGCAGATTAAGGAATGGATGTTTCCCAATCTGCACCCACTCGCCATTCCTGCCATCCCGAGAGCCCCAGGAAAAACGGAGGATGATATGGGGGGCTTGTAAAATCAATCAGTCACCTAGATCACTTTTACTAGATAGCCGGGAGAAAATGATGCTAAGCTCACTGCTGGAGCTTGAGGTCCATAGCATTTATAAACGTCATATGGACATCAAGTGGTTAAAGAAAGCAATAAAGCCCGACTCCAGCAAAAACAATGTATTTTGTTTTAGATTAGAGTGGGGGACGGAAAGAACCTCCGTTAGTGTTTTATTACCATCAGTGTCTCTTTTGTAAAGTTTTTCTCTCACTTCCCGTCAAGACAAGAATAAACAACAAGATAATGACATTATTTGATAATTAGATCAATAGTAATAAATAACCCAAAACAAACTGACTAATCAATGTATAGAAATCAATAAACTAATCAATCTGCCAGTCAATGTAAATCTATTAACAAGCTTATTAACCAATAACTTGAACTCTTCTTTAATCCAATGATACAAAGTCAATTTAAGTGCTAACCTATTGCATCATTTAACCTGCCAAATGTAACTTATACATCTAGGTTTTTTCTGTTTTTGGTCATTTCTACTTTGGCCCATTCTCAGGAAAATAAAAGAATAAAAAATAATAATAAGGAAGTTCAAATGCAAACATAAAAGCCAAATGGGGAATTAACATAGGCATGAGCTATCATGCTGTGCAAGAACAAAACTACAAAAATGTAATAGCAAGATGCACAGTAGTCAGGCTCTGGCCTATGTACATTGATATGAGCAATATAACACCATAAAGCGGCTACCAGCTTGAAGCACTCAAGTGCCGTCCTCTGCAGAAATACTGCTCAACCTCTGGTCCTCTTCTGGGTAAAAGGATCCCCAGCAACATTAAACCCATTTCCTGTTTCCCAGGACCTCATGGACAGAACCCCTTGGAAGTGCATTACACTGCTGGTATGGCCTCACAGGAGAATTTTGTAGAGAATGGAGCACGCACTGTACCTTGAGCACCGTTCTCTACAGCATTCTATAGTTCTACAGGTTGCTGCAGCACAGAGCTCCACCTAATACCGCTGCAGAGAGAAGAGGGCCTGTGACATCACCTAAACAACAAGAAGAATGCTGGGGAAAAAAGGTTTGTATATAGGGAATAAAAAGAAAGTTGGGAGGTGTTATTTTTAAAGAAACTTAAGATGATATTTTGGGGTGGCAATACATAAACTTTGCTTTTCTGCACTTGATTTAAAGCATGGTTATCAATTGAATCTGCTGATCATGATCAGATTTACATTATAATATTATAAAATTTGAATGTGATAGTCATGTTTTGCCATACCTGGTTACCCAACTCCAGAATGTTGTTAAAGTAGAAGTATAGCCCCAAACATTTTTCTATTACTTTTGGATATAGCTGGAAATGGTTAAAATTCATTAGTGGGTTGTTTTTTTACACATTGCGAAGATTTCTCTTAACTTCCTGTCCCAAGAAGAATGTGACAGGAAATCTCTATACGATAAAATGAAGGAAATTCCCCTTTTAGACAGTTGCCAATGGAACAGGCATCCCCTGTGGAAGATTTATTCTCACCTCTTGTTCTGGTGACACCGGCACCATTTTGGATTTCCTATCACTTACAGAACTAAAATAAAAGGTTTTAGCCATACATACACTGGCCACACATGCTACAGTTTGTGTAGCTTCTGTACAGTCTTCTTCATGCTGGCTTTACTTGTAACCATAAACAATTGATCAAAAATTAAATGATTATTGAATAATTATTCAAGCAAAAAATGATTAACACACAAAGGTGGCTTCAATCAAATTTGATTGAAGTTTCCATCTGTGCCGAATGCACCATTTCAATATAAACAATATATTGATTAAAACGATCTTTTAGTGCAATGCAGAAATATGTTTTGTTTTTTGCTTTTTTTTTACATAAAAACAAATTGTTCTAAACTGTACTTACATCTCATCCACTCTAAAACAACCAAAGCTCCCCTCCCAAAAAGAAACTACTGGCAACTGTTAATCCCACATTATCATATAACGACTCGGATGATCCCACATTATCATATAACGACTCGGATGACATTTGTTCATCTCATCTATCAGCTATTAATAATAAACATAATCGATTATATATTATTCACTAAAATTACCTAAACCCTAGAATGGGTAAAATACATTAAACAACAGAAAGCCGATTTGATCCATATGATGTAGCAATGCCATTATAGACTTTTGGTACAAAGTTACAAATGTATTATCTAACTTGCTCATACAAATTTTTTCCTGCACCTCCACAAATATGCCTATTCGGTATTCTCGAATAAATTATTTTTCTTCAATAAACACTTTTCCTTGCCATGTGGTGGATGTCCCTTTTGCTTCTACATTAGCCCTTTGGAAACAAATTCCGTTTGAGAAAATCATTCTGCAAAAATGAAAATGCATTATTGAATTCCATAAAGTCTGGGACACTCTTCTTACCACTGATAGGCCCTAACTGAAATTCATACCAGATTAATTGTGAAAAGGTGAAAGAAGAAGGAGCTTACAAATGATGATTTCTGATCCCATGTTATATTTGGCTCTATGGGATTGATTTACTAAAGGCAAATAGGCTGTTCACTTTGCAAGGGAATCTGCACTCTCCCTTAGCTTGGTGAATGTGGTGGAATTTCATTTAGCAAAGTACACCCAATTGTGTGCAAGGAGGATTTAAAAAAAACAAACCAAAAAACAGTATTTTTGCTGCACATGACTGGGTAATGGAAGTCAGCAAAGCTTCAACTCATCTACTAAACTAAAGGAAACTTCCTCTGCAATGTGCAAATTCCCTTGCAAAGTATAAAGCCACTTTGCATTTAGTAGATCAACCCCTACTTGTGTCGCCCTCAAACAGATTTATAACTTCAATCTTTAACACCTTGTATAAGATGAACTGGACTACACTGTACACTATACTGATTTACTCATGAAAACTTTATTAAGACCTGTAACTTTAACAATGTTGTGTTCAATAAAAATAAATATATAAAATGTATTGTATACGTGTGCCATTATGTGTACTGTATAGCCAGCATTAGATTTATCAAAACCCTTCCTAAGCATTGAAGTGATATCTAGTCAGGTTGCCCGCACATATACACAGTGGGTGGTAAATCTAAAGAAGATTATAAAAGCAGGTCTTTGGTATGTCTAACTGTATTCCCATTTCCTTGTTTAACAGGTCTGAGAGATATTTCTTAGAGGAAATAGAAGCAGCGGCATAAGCTATTTAACCACTTTAGGGCCTAAACACAGGAGATATGTCCTACAAAACGTCAACAAAGTTTCTAGGACATAACCCCTTTGTTCCGCTCTGCTTGCCCTGCTCCTGCTTCTGCTTTCCTCACTGCTATTACTGGCTTCCAAAAAATGACAGCCAGGAATTGTTCTCCATTACACAGCAGTGTATGTAAATGTAACAGTGTATTGTTTTATTGCATTTACTATTCATATGTACATTTGATCTGCATATGACATGAGTTAAAGAAACCTTACAAGTAGAACAGGACCAGTTTTGTGAAGTTCATTAAGGGACACAGGTCCCACCCCACAAAAATTCTGTTTTATTGTTCATTAATAGACACAGTATTCAGTTAATCTGAGACAATTGGGACAGCACAACAAACAAAACACTAACAGGCCCACAACGAAACAAATAGAGGCAGCCTGCAGTCTACACAGTTGCCTGAAGGACCTTACGCCCAACTAGCATCAGAAGAAGCATGAGCATCCACCTAGTAAAACTTAAAACTTGTGAACCAGATAGCAGCCTTGCAAAATTAGGAAACAGTTGCCTGATACCTAAAAGCCAAAGAGGCACACACTGGTCTAGTAGAATGTGCCTTGACAGGAAAAAGCAGGACTTTGACATTACGCCCATAGGTTCGTAAAATAAGCTGTCTTAGCCACAGATAAATGGTAAACGCGAAGCTGGTTCCCCTTTTCGGGGACCATCAGGAATGACAAAAAGAGAGTCTTCCTAATGGAAGCAGTGGCATAAATGTAAACTTGTAAAGCACAAACCACATTTAGAGACAGTCAAGGGAAATTTCCTTCTTCTGAACTACAATCAGACATACAGATGGAAGGTCAATGTCCTAGCTAAGGTAAAAGGCTGAAATCACTGTAGGAAGGAGGCTCTAGGCCTTAAAATCACCTCATCCTTGTTACAGGCCAAGGCTACAGGACAAGGCTGCCAGCTCAAACACACACCTAGCAGGAGTGATGGTAATTAGGAATGCAATCTTGTCGGTGAGAGTGGAAAGGGGGGATATACCTAATAGATTCAAACAGCTATCTCGGAAGAGCCAACAGAACCAAACTAACATTCCATGGGGTCACAGGAGGTTGTTCAGGAGGAGCCACATAGGAGATAGCAGGCTCTGGGAACCAGAAGTCAGATTCAAGCAGAACTCTTGGCAAACTTTTTCTTAACCCTTGGCTACCCTACTCTATAATCACTAGAGTCAGGTCCAATACTTCCCTTTGTGTGCTGGGAGGAGACTCTTATTGACACATTCGCACACATATACTTTACTGTCTGTCGATTAAATTGGGCAGAGTAATACAGGTCACTACGCTGACCAACTATATTTTGCTAGCTCCTAACTTAAAGAAGAACTCCGGACACGCAGCTTCCTGGGCTACCCCTGCACTGCAGCTGTTAAGTGCTCTTTTCATCTGGGTGCAAAAATAACAAAGTTATACTCACCTGATCTTTGAAGCATACCAAGCTGGTGCTTGGAGCCTCTTTCCGCTGCAGTGGTCTAAGGATCCTTGAGTCATCATGTCCTGTGCATTGGACGTAGAGCCACTGAGAGACATACCATCGCTGCAGTAGAGGAGACAGGCTTCAGGGAGCTCTGTCACAGCCAGCGCGCTTTTTAAGATATTTCTCATCAGATACTATATTAATAATATTTATTTGACAGTTGTGGTGCTCTCTTAGAGATCTCAGAGTGGCAACTGCACTAGTAGAAGCTATGGAGTCTTCCATTTTAAGTGTGAATTGTACAGCATCAATAAAAGTCAAAATGGTATCCTTTAACCTGGGAGCGATTTCAGCTGACTGAGGCTCCTCAGGAACAGAGTCATCCATAATGGCTTTGTGAGACTCTGTTAGACCGTACATCCACAGCAGAAAAAAAAAATCTGAAGGGGAACACATAGAACTTTGCTTATAACCTCTACGTCTAGAGCCAGCAATCATATTTGCAAAGTGGCTCATGCTGGTTAACTGCAGAGAACCCTCCCCTGAAAAAGGAGGAAGATGATGCAACACCAGATGGTGCTATTGGAGACTTCATGGAGAGAGATGACTTAAGTAGAGGACAATGGTCCCACCCAGACAGACACTACAGGCTGCCCCAGAACCGTTAATGGATCGTGAGCTGAAGAGACCCAATATGTAACCCCTTGATTTCTTCCTCCCTCTTCTCTCCTTAGCTATTATTCTTTTGGGTATCATTTGTTTTGTTTATTTTTCAGTGTCACATTAAAAAAATGTGCAAAATTGGAAAAAAATATTTTTTTTGCTTTGTACCAAAAAAAAGTTTGGTGTCATTTTAAATGGAACAAATGATAGAATAAAATGTATCTTTTTTTTAACAGTAAACTACTTATTTTAAAGGTAACATAGGCCATAATATATAATTTGTCAATAGATTACATAGAAAATAAAATAACTGGAAATATTTTCTAAAGAAAGCTTAGTTGTCCCCCCAGAAACACAGTGTATGTATTACTTTATCTTAAGTAATGACAAAGTTATCACCGAATAAAGGCCCATAGTAAAAATTTTAAAATTGCTCTGATCTATAAAGGTTTGAGAGCTGAAGTAGTTAATCTTATATTAACATCACACTCACCTGTAAGCAAGTTGAAATTGCAGCGTGTCCACTGGTCATTGTCGATATTATAAGAATCTATATGCCGCACCAAAATCCTGTCATTATTGTAATCCAAGTCATTGCCTCCCATGACATAAAGCATTCTTTGGACTGCTGCCATTGCATGGTAAACTCTTCTCTGCAGCATAGGACTGCGACTAATCCATTTATTCTGCAGAAAAGAAAGCAGTGAGATGCTTTACAAACTGCTCAGTCAAATACAATTAGTTTTACATAAACATGCCACATATAATAACGATATAAAATAACATAATTAATTAGTGAACCTACTTATTGAAGGAGGGAAAGGTAGGTTCACCTTATCAAAGGAATATTACTATTTTATAATTAATATATTATAAATTACCCTAACACCACCCCTACCCCCCACCTTACTTTCAGCAATTAATTCTGTTCCTCAACTTACACTTTCCTCTCTTTTTCCTTTTACTACATATGGAACTATGAAGGTATCTTTATGGGGATGTTAGAGAGTGGCATATAACGTGCTTTACCTCTCCTATACCTCATCCTTAACATCTGTTGTTTTACATGCTGAAGTTGTCGGACTATGCCCTATGCAAGACACCTTAGATGATGTGGGATGTTTATCTTTTTATATTTATGGCATGTCACCAATATTCTACACTATGTCCAGACTGTAAGGAGCTAATGTATAATGTATAACCTTCCACCCAGCGTGAAGCCAGGCGAATGCCGTTTATACGGCCTTACTGCCACTGGAGGACGTTGAGCACAGGAATTTCCTATGCTACTCACACATTTACTGTAAGTGGTGATAATTCTGGGCAGCTTTACACTGGATGGAAGGTTTACAGTGTACATCAGCCCCTAAGCCTGCATGTTCCACTTTTACAATATGTTTGAAAATGTAATAAAAACTATTAAAAATGTAATTATTATAAATAGTTGCAATTTTAAAGACAACCTGTACTAGGAGAAATGACTCACTTTCTACTTCTAAAGACGTTTTATGTCTGACTGTCATGCTCATCCTTTGATTTGAATACCTTCTGACCTGGTATGCAGTTTGAGTTCTAACTGATGCATACATATTCCAAGGTAAGTGACTAAGGAACTTACTTAAACAAAAATAGCGTTTAATCCAGTTAATCATTATTAAATAGAACACTAAACATGTTACCTACAACTAGAATAGGTACCTGAATATGTCCTTTTAGCCTTCCACACTTGGAGAGCGAGTGTCAGCAATCTATGCCAATCAGCACATTGCACAGTGCTGTCAGGAACAGGCTTACAACAGGGGAGATCACAAGGATGACCTCATGAGTGTGCTGCTGTTCCTTCAGTGTCAAATCACAGGCTCGTGTGGGTCCTACACCAGGCTGCATTGCTTAACTGCAAAGTAGTCAGCAGAGAGTTCCAGGAACTGGCTGTGATGTCTTACCAGGGATGCTGAACAGATTTTTAAATCCTTTGCGGGTACAACAGCTCACATACATGTATCTCAGCAGAGTATTTAAAAATGATAAAGCTACACTCCTGGCAGACATAGAAGAGACAAATGAATGCACCTCTGCAGTCATTAATAAATCATGGAGTGCATTTTTTCAAAATGCAGCCAGAATAGGTACCTGTCCTAGACTCAAAATCAGCCTCTTGCAGTCCTCTATATAGCAGCGCTTAAACTGGGAGAGGGAGAAGCAGTTCTGCGAACCAACCAGGTGCTCTGCATGCAAATATGCTGATAAAGAACACACTGTTTGAAGCAGAGAACAGATGAGTGACCTCATCAATCTGCTGCTGCTGCTTCTTCACTTTCCAGTCAGCAATATATTATTTAATTGTAACAAAGAAAGTGGTGCCATGCACTGCCTTTGTAGTCTGACAGGGCTGTTGAATTCTCAGGAAATTCAAATACTTTAGCAGGTAAAAAAAGCTTTCTTATATGTGTTTATCGGGCTGTCTGGACATTTGCTTGGAGTTAAGCTTTACGATACAGTGCTGAGTGAAATTTTAAAAGTTCTAAACCTTTTTTTCCCAAAAGGTGTTTATTTAGTAGTTTGACAGTTTGTTATGCAGAAAACTAAAACTGTAATAGATGCAAGGCACAGGTTGCAACCATGAACAGGAACAGACACTCATTCACACATATTCGCAAAACATACCGCACTAGCCCAATTATAATACTTAATGACACCCAGCCAGGGTCCCGTGATCTTGATGAAATTAGATGGGCATGCCCAGGCTTCATAGATTCATTTGTGTTTAGATAAAACCTCATCCTCAAACCTCAACTAAAGTCATAAACCAAGCGGTTGAGTTTTCCCATTGTAACAAAATAGCTTTGTGGGCACAGAAACAGAGCAATCTCAGCAGAGTTCTCTTAGCCGAGTGAGAATTGAAAGGTTCCACAATGCCAAGCAGCAACATTTCTAAACCTTGTACATACGTATGTAGATCACAACCATTTGATATGCTTTGCACACTAATCTTCTTTCTTTTACACACGCCTTAACTCCTCTCTCTATCACATACGCATATTCCAATGTTCTTTCTTGGAATTCTTTCATCTGTACATGTTATGCTGAATTACAACTTGATTTCCTTTATCTCCAGAAAAGTACATGTTTATGTAAACAAGTATATAAGATAAAAACTCAAGTACGCATCAATAAACTAGAACAGCTTGTAAGGAAACCTTGGGTGTCTGTGCATGCCCATTCTCTCACTGCAGTGATATTACACAAATGTATTTAGGAGCCACTAATCAAATCTCATACACCTTTTGCAACATAAAGATAAAATTCCATGACACAGTGTCGTACTATGATATAACCAGTCTTAGACCAGCTTAATAACGCCACTAATGCCTATATTGCAATGATAAATCTTTCTACAAACAAAAGATTCAAAACACTATAATCCTTGAGCTCAATAACCAGAATAGGATTAAAGAATACTGTTTTACATCATTAGTACTCAGCACCAGACAGAGAGATAAAGATGGCATCTGATTTGCAATGTATTCATGTGTCCCCTGATTACGGCATTCTTTTCCTCTGCTGCAATGCCTGCCAGGTGAACCTCAACACAAGCAGGGAGGCACAGGGGTCTGAGCAAGGTCACAGCTAAAACGGCAGTGTTTGAATACTAATCAGTAATGGGGAAGCAGAGGTCATCGCAGCCTGTCTGCTAGCAGGTAGCTCTGTGCTCTGTGGCAGATGGCAGTCATTATTGACTCTCTACAAAGGCCTTGCTTAAAGCCGTGCCCCAGTGCTTAGTGATGGAGTCATTGAGATTCAGAGCGGGTACAAGCAGATGTGGTTTGCCAGAACCCACTGTAAACAATATGCCAGCAGAATGTAAAAAAAAGAGGCTATGTGCGCAAACATGAAGCAATCCTCATTTAAAAAATAAAAGTTTCAATTATTAACTGTCTGCGCTCTGGAGAGCATGCCATGCAATTAGCAGGAAGCAGACACAGCAAGGATATTCCCAGCCAGCTCAAATGTTTCCAAACAATGGACATAGTAATATTTAGTAAGAATTACACTGTGCAACAGGAGTTGACAAGTTCAATTTAGGGGGTGAATGAAGCTAAAGGGATTCAGTGGAAAAGGTTAATCGTAGCAGTAGTTGACATATGGGCTTATGTAATGAAATAGTGTAAAGAACAGTGATAGCATGCACAGTGCAGTAACCCACGGTAACCACATTTCATCTTTCATTAGCCTGAAGCAGTCAGAACAATAAAAAGATGATTGACAGGTTACTATGCGATACCACTTTGTCCACCTTATTAAATAGGACAATATAGTACAATGTACTGAAGTATTTATTCAACTCAAATAATACACACATCACAACATTTTGGGCTTCCTGATCAAATGCCGCTGGGCATGCAAAATACATTGTGCGGGTGGAGTTTTGCCTCATCACAAATTTTGTATATAAATATAGACAGCTATAGGCTGGATTAATACGTATTTACTGAAGTACTATGCATGCAAAGGCAAAAGTACAGTAGATACCCATAGATCACACTGCATTGAACCCCAACGTTGTGGTGAGCCGCATAGAAAAAATAGATACATGTCTGGTTTGCCTTCAGTTGCCATGTAAATGTATGGGCTGCCTTAACACAATGCAAGGTCATTTGTAATATGCATGCACGTTAGGGCGCGTGTGGTAACGTACTGCAACAGAACAGCCAGGAAGGGAAATTTAAAAGGAAAAACATGTATCTACATTGTCCATAGCTAATCAAGTTCCAACAGTTAGATATTTTTAGGTGGAACCACAGACATAACGAGTATCTGAATTTTAAAGATCAGACACTTTCTCTCACCAATGCAACAACCAGCCTCAAAGGTCAATAAGAAAGCGTGGAGGGTGAGAGGAGGTAGGTCAGAAGTCTTCATGGTCAAAAGGAAAGTGTGTGAAAAGAAAGATGTGTTATGTCTGTACCCCAGGTTTTGGGAATCAGTGGTTTACAGCAGGATGGCAGAACACAAGGAATCTCCTCCAAATGTATACTTATTTTATACTATAAAGTCCATAAAAGCAACGTCCACTTACTGTTTCAGCCCTGCCGTGCCTTAGTCATAGCATTTGGGGATCAGAGTTGCCTACTCTAAGAATCAGGGGCCGCTGTAGGAGGTAAAGTTTCCTTTCATTCATAGTTAAAAGCCATAAGAGACAAAAAAGAAAACTTCCTGTCTTTGTATATATTGGAATGGGTTACTGGTGCCAGGAGACCTGGCACTCCCTGCTTCCACTAACTACTTAGACTTCTACAAGTCTATATTATACCTAACCTTCATCTACTGTGGTCATGGGAACTCAACGTTTCTGCTGACATCACTATAGAATCTGCAGTAAAGAGGAGAAAGTGTGGTGCCAGAATTTCCAGTATTATGTTGGCAGATATAATGTTAAGATTCTGTATGAGACATGGGGGGTGATTTACTAACCTAAACACACGCACCAGGTGCGTGTGATTTTCACACAGCAAAATGTATTTATCAACCAAAAAGTCTCTAAAAGCATGTTTCCACTAATGCCATATATGGAAAAATAATGCACATGATGCATATATAATGCTGCTTCACAGTTTAGACAAAAATGGTTAGCTCATGCATTTACATTCCTGCATTCATCAACGCAAGCAACACAACATAGAGCTAATTTACACAACATCACCATGCAAATTCATGCAGGGCTTTGCACAACACACCTGCTGGGTGTGTACACACTACAAAGGTGTCTAGATTCCACCAATAGATCATGCTGGGAGGGAACACACTACAGAGGTGTATACTTGTTCGTGGCGTGTTTATAAGGTTAGTAAATCAACCCCACAGAGTCCTCAATCTCTTTTTCTGCAGCCCCTGTTATCAATGAACAGGAATCCTCTATGAGTGTTCCTGTTCATTGATAAAATGAGGACATGGTATGTTTAGTATAACTACAATTAAGAATGAACAGGAGTTGATGTAGATCACTTCCCATTCATTCATAATTGAGGATATAATCAACATACCATATCCTCTCTATATAGTCATCATACCATATTATCTACAAACACTCAGTGATCACTGATCGCTGAGTGTTTGTAACTTGCTCTCCTCTCTGTCACGGTGTCACAGGAGGCTGAGCGAGTGGCGTAGGGAGGAGAGCTCAGCCTCTGGGGACAGCGCGGGCTGTCTCCGCCCACACACCGCTCTGTCGGACTGTGATAGGAGGCTGAGCGGTGTGGGAGGAGACACCAGCCGCTCACAGCGCTCCCCTCCCGCAGCGCGGCTATCACACTTTCTCTCCTCCCCGCTGGGACAAAGAGCAGCGTCCAGCTGGGAGGAAAGAAAGCAGGGATGCGCTGATGTATCGGCAGGAAAATTGCACTTTCGGCATTATGCCAAAAGTGCAATTTTCGGCCGATATATCGGTGCATCCCTATTTAGTACCTTTAATCTTAGTTCAATATTTGCCTTTGATTTTGTGTCTTTGATCTTGCCAGTGTAGTTTTGTGGTTAAAAGACAAAACTACCCACTTTAGTCTTCCTCTTCAATTGAGTATGGTACACCTGTCCCCAGTGTCCAGGGCAGATATGTTAAATTCAGATATGAAAGAAATATTGAAAGTCCTATAACCCCCAGTCGATATAACTCACCTGGTTTGGATCATACACCATTAGCCTGTTCTGATATTGTGCAGTGTTAGTCACTCCGCCTGAAATAAAAAGTGATTCAGAACACAACATTTAAAAACAAACCCATCACAATGGCTCATATACATTTTCAATGTGTACACAGTAAATAGTAACAATTACCAATAAAAAACTCAGAAAAAGAGGTAAGCTATGAGCCCAGGTTCACACCATGATCCGTGACCGCGCAGCAATCCTGCACGAAACCACGCAGATGGCCACGCAGTCACGAAATTGCACACCACCACAGATCGCGCTGCCGGTGCCATTATTTTTCAAAATGGCCGTAAATAGATGATTCATATAAATAGCTCCCTATTTGGGGGAGTAACACTGAAAATGCCACCCCTCCGCCTACTATTCATGATAAGCCATGTCCCTTAACCTGTTTTTAAACTGGTATTGAAGGCTGCTAAAATTGTGCTGTAGTGTTAAAGTGGACCCTCAATTATCTTCACAAAAATGAGTAGGGCACATGTCTACATTTTCTAATACATTATTAGATCAAAACATTACCTCTCTTTCCAAGAATAAAATGGGCATTGCATGTGTAATTTTATTTGAGGATCATCTGATTAATGGGCAAATATTGGATCTATCGAGGTAAGGTCCTGTCAAACTGCCTTAAGAATGTATTTATTTTTCTGCTCATAATTTGATAATTCTCCGGAAGCAGTAATGCAGTGCCTATTCCATCAGCGTATTATGTTCAGTATAATTATTTCAGATTTTTCAACAGAACCTTACACTGAAAGGTTAATGTTCTGCTGCTTGAGAAGAGTATGCTTCACATGCACAGAAATACAGATCTATAAGGCTCAGATAATAATTTGCAAACCATACACTCTCCTCATTACCTACTTCAGTGGTTGCATATGGCATGCACTGGCTGATGCTAATAAGAGAGAAAGTAATTACCAAGTCTCTGGGGCATCATGCTTTAGTGTTTTGGCTTTACAGTGATCATATTTAATACTTCTTGCAAAATATGTCCCTTTGGCTGCAGAAAACCATGCTGTTCCCCGTTCCAGTCTGAACCAAACCTGCACTCTTATCATTCCCTGATGTGAGAAGAAAATACAATCATTGGGACTGCACCAAACCCTACAATTAACACTTAGGTCAACGCAATGCAACATAGCACCTGGTGAATGCTTGGTTTCTTTCTGTGTTGGCCTAAAGGTAGATAGGCTCTTCACAGAAGTCTATGCTACAACATTAGAAAAATGTAGCTCCTGGAACACATGACCAGTACCCACCAGTAAGCCCAGCACTGGGACAGGGGGATTGGCTGATTGGAGGTAAGTATATAGGTTTGCTACGCAGGCAAGTGAAGCCTTTTGGTAACAGGGACACAAAAGTGTACCTGTTCTTTAAAGCAGAACAAATATGTGCTGCAGTACTCAATTATAAGTGCATCTGCAATGACAGGTTTCTCTTAGTCCAGTGCAGACCACCTAACGCAGCATCCTGCGATGGTGTGGCAACAATACTGCACTGCCCCTAAAGTCACTCTCATGTAGGCTGTACCTGCTTGCACTACAATGGGATGAGAATATGTTGCAGGGGGTGTGGCTATCAACATTGTCACTGCTAACTCACAAACCTGTAGCCTGTCCATCAGCACTTGACCACACCTAGTTCCCCTCACTGCTTCTAGATTGACAGCACTGCTTCATTCTGAAAGCCTCCAACTGTGAGCTGCAGTGTCTGGGAGGGGGGAGCGTGAGACACAAATGAAGGAGGATTTGCCTCAACAGGGAAAGTAAGGGAAGCTTTTTGTTTACTTTATAAGGCTTGTGCATCACATAGTAACTGGGTATTGGACCAGTTTAGTCATACAGGAGCCTTTACATGTACTTTAAAGTGTATGATCAAAGCCTGTAATAGAAAGAGACATTTCCATGCATGCCAACACGGACATGAATGTAAGTTTCCCAGTGACACTTTCACAATATTTTTTAAAATGGAACAGCAGATATGTTTTTTCATGCAAATGCAAGTTTTATTGATAATGTATGTGTTTTTATGCGCTTTGCTAAGTATGAGCGTACTGGGTTTTTTGTGCCGTGTACTGTTTTTTTGTGTATATGTTATACCAAATAGGCTGGGAAAAAACCCCAATAAGTGCACTTTTAGAGGAAGTGCACTTCTTTTTGCCTCAACTCCCCCCTCCCCCAAACTAAACTACCCTACCCTTGCTCTGAGGGCCGAGGCTTCGCTGTTTGTTGCCTTCCGATGCTGCAAGTCTCCCTCTCCTGGCCGTGTCTATCTCCCAGCTGGGAGACAGCCCTATTAGAAGTCTATGAGGTTGTAACATGCAGGTGTGGCCAGCAGAGAGAGCATTGTGGTGCTGAATGTAAACAATCACAGAACCATGCCTGTCAGACCTCGGTAAGTACAAATTTGCAGAGGAAGAGGGTACGATACCTTAGGTTAGGGATGGGGGTTAAGAAAAGATAGCTGTAATGTGTTTTAAAGTACACGTTTCCTTTAAAACACATTTCCCAATGGTAAAATGCTTTAACAATACAAATGGCATTTATTGTAATGAGTCTTGATACATCACTATTGATTCCATTCTATGGAATCTTTGAAGAATAAGTGCATTTTTAACACACCCTAGCCTCTTAAGTAAACCTGTATTTTGCTCAAAAGGGCAAACTAACATGTTGCTGCACTGGAATCACTGTAAGCTGACTATTTTCCTTTTCCTGCATCCCAGAGCACCCAGAGATTCCTGTAATACTTCCAACTTTCTGAACACTGGAACCTGCAGATGGCTCAGTTAGTTCTTTCCCCACTTAAGAAACTAGAGCTGTAATATGGGGAGGAAGGAAGGATGTTGTGTGCTCCCCATATCTGGAGGTGACAGATATTTTTCAGGGTTCTGGAAGTTTATTGTTGCAATCCAGCACAGGGTAGGTGAGTCAAGACACCATCAGGTGCATGCTCTACAGTGAACCTGCTACTTTGCCTATTAGGGCAAAGTACAGGTTTGCTTCAAATATATGTATGCAAATCAAGAAAGTTTATTTTACTGTAATCCTTTTGTCTTTAACCTGCTGTCCCTTGAGAACTCTTTTTGTCATCTAAGGCCCGGTTCACACCTGGGCGTTTTGTAGCGCGTTCCTACGCTCTGCAAAACGCTCAAACACCGAAAATCCCATTATTTCCTATGGGTATGGTTCACACCTGGGCATATTACAGGCCGTATGAACGCGCTACAAAACGCCCTACGCCCAAAGAAGTACAGGAGCTTCTTTGGGGCGTTTTTTTCGCGTGTATCCATTGGGATACAGCCAGGTAGCCCTCTGAAACACAGGTTTGTTGCGAAACGCGCGACAAACGCGCATATTCGATACGCCTAGGTGTGAATCCAGCCTTACTGAGAAAATCTCTTTGCAACTAACTACTAATTACTCCCTTATGGAGACATTTGGAAAATAATGCTTTTTATCAGCTAAATCGGGAAGAGCATCATGGTGAGACATAGCACTATATACAGTATGTCTTGTAAGGATGGACAGGATGTCTCATTGCCCATCATTCTTGTTGGTACATCTGCCTGACAATGGCTATTCTATGCCTAGGCCATCTGGTTATCTACTTATATTTTATTACTCCTCATCCATGTTATGTTCACACCACTCACCTTCATATAAAATATCTCTATTGGTGTTAGATCTGCTTACATTTGTTTGGATTGATCAGATGTTTTTATGTTACTTTAGCACTTTTTAGCTACTTTTACCTAAACAATAGTCACGAACTCCGGGTTCTTTTGTGATGTATAAAAAGACAGTCTCAAAGAAAGAGAGGAGAATAAACACAAACACATTGTGGAATATTTCACTCTGTTCAGCAATGTTGGAGGTCCTTGATAATTATATGCACTTCACATACCTCTTCTCTCACTTTTAGATTAATCTTCTGAAATGAGATGCAGTGGATTTGCATACAGATTTGACGACACAAAAATAGATATGAAATTATTAACAGTCTATATATCTTGTAAATTTTTTTCCTAGTGTGGAGTACCCTTGCCTACAGCGATATTCTTGGCTTTGAAAGTCATCAGGCTGATTTGCCTGCTCTTAGGTTATGGTACCCCATGCTGCTACACTGTCCCCTGCAATCAAAGCACTTGCACACATTCCGCGGTTTCCCCTAATAAGTATATTTTATTGATTGGCAGTTTTGATCTGCCTCCCCAGGGGGATAATCTGCATCTTACCAGCATTCTATAGATACATCTGGCATTAAATATGCCATCTTAAATGAGCATCAATTTTCAAAAACAACTTTTCTTCTAACTTTGAAGTGACACGGATGAAATTTAAAATATATTCTGCCTAAAAAAATTTGAATTAACTATGCTGCATTTTATCCTTGAAGTTGTAGTCAAAGTATACCACAGGCTACTGAAAATTTGAACCTCTCAAAAGGCTGAAAGAGAACGCCACCGGAAAGGTGAACGGAAAGTTATTTCAATGATAAATACCAATATTTTGCAGAATGACATGACTGTTCGGCAACCAGCCTTTTCCGAGAATTGGTAATTTCTCTATAAAGAGTTTCATGATTCAAGTGCTTATTCAACTTAGGTTAGCAAATGACAGCTGTGAGGTTCTCTGCAATGAAATTAACTGTGCCTACATGGTTTAATAGAGGCTTGGTAGAAAATTCTCTATAATGTTTAGACTTTAGTGACTGGTATCAATTGTTAAAGACTTATACATGATGTATAACGCTACTGACGCTGGTGGTCATGACAATCTTTCTACATTTAAACATGCCTTGAAAAACTGATGCCACTTTTTAGACGAGCTGGAAGCATATCAGCCAAAAAATGTTTTACAATACTTTATTTTCTCTTTGCATCAGTGTGATCTAATTGTTTTAAAAAACTTTATTTTCTCTTTGCATCAGTGTGATCTAATTGTATTTATTTATTTTTAGTTATAACGGCTTTTGGTAGGGTCCTATAGAGCTATTCTTGTGTGTGCCAATAAGCTTTGTGTGTCTCCACAAACACACAATCTAGAAGATATTGTATGTTGTCCGCACACCATTCTGCTTCAGAGTGTCAAATGTAATCATATTCCTTTAGCATGACATGTGAATGCAACATTTCAGAGCCTCACAAGACCCCTTCGTCAGGCAAAGGGCTGGTATCCACCAGTTGTTCCAGCGCCCATCGGATTCAGGGGTACAATGGTACGGTGTGCAAAGGGGATATTACAAAATCCACAAAAACACAGTCACAGCAAGGCAAGCCACTACCCTGCTCCTCCTTGGTCCCTTCTGCAAGCTAGTAGATCGACAGCTGCTGGATCTTGTACTGGATGGGAAGTTCAGTGAAGCCGAGCTGAGAAAGTTGGAGCCAACTTTCTGAAACAGGATGACTGTAAGTCCTTGGGCAAAAATGTAAAGAAATGCTTTGCTGGACAATGTACAGTATATTTGTTTGATGTGGATTCATTATTGAAAAAGAGTGGAATACTACTTTATAGGGTACTGGGCTTATAAGACACAATAATAGCATACAACATATAATGTCTCACTGATTTATATACTAATATGTGTTCACAGAATGAACAAGTTAAAAATGATTAGTCACTAACCTGATATCCAGAGAAGGCCATCCGCTACACATCCAGCATGACAGGAAAGAGACCTGTCAAAAGACTGTACAAAAGTCCACTTGTTCTTCTTCGGACAGTATCGTTCTACAGACGGTAACACCTGTCTGAGTTCATTCCTACCACCCACTGCATAAAGACAGTTGTCCAGTGCCCCCAGGACAAAATGTTCCCGACAATTTTTCATTGGAGCAATATCAATCCACGTATTGCTTCGAGGATCGTATCGACAAGCTGTCCTTACAGCACAAGTACGGCCAGTGGCATGTTCAACTTCTCCCCCTGCAGCAAATAGAAAGTCCCCCATGATTGCGACACAGTGGTGACTCCGTCCTACTGGCATGGGCGTCAGTTCACTCCAGTTTGCAATTCCTGCTATATGAACATTATCCTGATCAACAGGATTAAAGTATCTTAATTCTCGAACTTTACAGATTTCCCGCTTTTTACCACCCACAATGTAAAGGGTACTGGAATGGAAGCGTGGCTTTGTCCTTATGGTCTGCCATATTGGCTGTGCATAGATATTTTCATGGTATTCCAAGGCTTCATTTATAAGTCCTGTTGCCTTTTCACTAGTTTGGATCAAAGGATGAGAAAGGGCGACAGTGTGAAGTGTATTTGTATCCATGAGGCCAAAACGTACATACTGCAGCAGTTCATCTATGTATTGGTAGCGGCAGTTATGCTCCAGCCACCTGACAGCCAACTGAAAAAGATGAATGGGTTAGTTGTAAAGTCATGATTAGACCATTGTTAATTCTTCTAATAATGCCTATAGACCACATTCCTCAAAAGTGTCTCATTGTAAACTTGATGCCTACAATTACATTCCAACCACCATTCTTAAGTTCACTTTGTAAAATAATAATAATAATTTATATAAGGGCTGGAAAGAGGGGTGGGAGGAGATGCAGAAGGGGCAGCTAACCCTGGCGCAGTATTTTCATGTGGACCAAGCAGACACTCTTATTACTGGAGTCTTCGTGGCAGATCTGGAAAGTTACTGTGCCCTCATCATCACCATAGCTGGTAAAATTCTGGATCTGCCACTGAGACTCTAGCCATTGAGTCTGCCTGCCTGCCAGGTCTCCGGGTGGCTGGGTGTTTCCTTCAGCTTAGCCACTACTGGCCAGGAGTAGTGAGAGCAGTGTCGCTATTTCTGTCGACTAGGTAGGAGACAGCTTCCTCTCTCCTTACATGGCATTAATGTGGAACTCCCATCTACAGTTAGTGGTATCAGCTAAAAGCATAGATAGTTTTTAAAAAACAACAACAACATTTAGATGAGTTTCCCAGTTCAGAAAATATATATGGTACACACAAACACGCACATGCATATAGATGGTTGAGACAGACCTGTGTCTTTTCTAACCCTTACAAATGATGTAACTGTTATCACTCTGGTATCTACTTCTTGCTCCCAGCCACCAAGGGACAACCCCCACACTGTCCGCTGTTGTTCGGCTCCGACCCACCAAGGGACAACCCCCACACTGCCTGCTGTTGTCCGGCTCCATCAGCAGTTGCTTATGCCACCATGTCCAGAACCTGAGCAGAGTGCCATCTGCACCAGTTTCTGGTCAAAGACTTTGTGCAGAGCAGGAAAAGAAATACCCTGGAAGTCAAGGCAGTAAGCCCTACAGTGTGTTCTTGGGTCACCTTTTGTCTTCTCTGCCCTGAATGAGCATTTCTTAACTTTCGTTTACTCTGCGACTCTGTCAGGTCTTGATCTGTTACTTTATTTCACTTTTTAGCAAAGGTTTCTATTATTCTGGCATCCGTATGGGTTAGTGTACACAGGTTGGTACATAGTGAGGGGTCTGCAGGGCATTAAATGATCCAACTACATGTCCTAGCCTATCAAACCACAGCACTGTTAGACCCCATATTTGACCACGGCCCATGTATTAGACAATTAGTCGCATTATGGTGTAGCATACTCTGCACACTGCTGATAACCCCTCCCCTTTCCCTGCCTCCCACCCTGCCCCAATCTCACTGATTTTGGAAAGTTTCCAGGTATGCTCATCACACGCATGTCCTGCCTTTCATTTTGGCTCTGGCCAGTACGGGGCTATTCACAACCAATGCAAGAAGACTAGCAGAGACAGAGAACAAACAGCAGGAAGGTCCCACTTCCGGGTGGAAGCCCAACAGGTGGACCTGTTGTTGCGCAATGGTCAATGAGACAAGCACTATGGCAGCTGGAAGTGGGAGATCCCCGCTGCAGAAGATGGCAATGCGCGCACTTACACTGACTTAAGTGTAATAAATGGGAAAGGGGTTGGAGTTTGGCATCTTCACCCTGGGCACTGGATGACATTGTCCTGGCACTGATCTAAATAGTCATTGTAGGTACCAATCTTTCATGTGGACATTTCTGATAAATGACGCACCTATTCTTTCGAGATGACATCCATTTAATTATTTATTATGGCAATGCAGGTAGCAATGGTGATGTGCAAACTGCACCAATTTGACCCCTAATGTCACCTATGGACCCCCAAAGAAGCTGATAAAGCAGAGATCTGCTTCATCAGCTTCTTCTCTGGCCACAGCAGTTGGAAAAATGGTATGCAAAAGGAGAAGTGATGTAATACACATCACTTCCACATTCATTCATCAGAGGGTAGATTAGCCGGTGGACGTGTGCAGATCTCCCTCTGATCTCAGTGCAGAGACCTGGCATGCTGGTCCCTGGCAGCAGCAGAGGGGGGGGACTGCACACTCCCACGCACCATACAAGCAAGCCAGCAGCTCCATAGCTGCCCGAACAGTTGTATTTAACAGCCGTGGCTGGCAGTTTAAAATGTTTAGCGTGTCCTGCTCGTGCAAGCACTAGGGGGGAATGCACAAGCGGGGAAAAAAGAAAAGCTGTATATTTATGGTGACCCGCTGCCTAGAGAGTGCCATCCACCTGTTTATATAGAATGGGCGGGTGGCATGCGGTTAATGTACACTGCTGAACCCAAAGTGAACAAAGATAGAAGCAAGCAAATTCAAGATAGACCAAATAAAAAATGTATATACAAGTCAAATCTAATGTCACATAACCTATTAGTTAACCTTTGCTCCATCATGCACTAGGTAGAATGATAACAATGGCCTTTAATTAAAAATAGATTAGGAAACAATTAATATACGGACATCAACTTTGCACATTGGAATAAACACTATATACTTTGCAAGGAATTTAGGAAACTTTTTTTGGCAACTCCTTACCTGCTTTTGTCCCATAGATACTGAACTTGCTGAAATCTTTTTAAATGTAGGCCTATGCGGAAGACTCTAACTTTACCAACATCACATAAGTACCTGTTCTTAATGAACCATTGGACCAGCAACATATCTTTTAGATGTGCATTACTCTCTGCTTGTACTGAATATGAAATCTCAATGAAGCAAACATTGCCGAGGATGATGTCTGGAATCTGACCTTGGCGTGTGTGCAGACTTCTGGCAGCGGTCCAATTACAGTAGTAGGGGAGGAGGATGCTGGAAAATTCTGCCTACAAAGTGTTGTTGCCGTGGTTGCAAGGAAGAAAAATTTAATTTATTTTTTTTTGCAGTTATGTAGAATGTCCGGTTGCAGATTAAAAAGGAAAGGCAATGTTTAATAATATTAAATTTACAAGGTAGCTCCTATAGCAGTTACCTACAGGTTCCTAAGGTCATATGTTGCAATCATGTGTAACACACACCGCCTAGAAAAATATTAGTTAAACACTGTAAAAATGTTGTCACATCATCCAATGAGGATATATATTGGGGTTTATAGATGCTTGCCCACCACTATGCAGAAGAAACATAATGAAAAGCAAAGGTCTCCTTTAGGTTGTGTAAAAACTGAATCTTGCCAACATAAGCACCCTTATCTTTCAACTGTAAAGCAGATAGAGAGAAGCTGAACAATGGAAGTTGTGTCAAAAAAAAACAGGGATAGGGAAAAAGACTAGTCAACGGTATTGCCTGTGGGCTTCCCACAGCTGTTTTCCCCAAGATTAACTTCTCATGCTTTGTCTCTGTGTGGAGCTGCCCCCTTCCTGATGACTGGTGATCTGACGACTGAAAAGGAATAATTAAGCAGCAGGAGAGATTCAGAACGCACAGACTGAATGATGATTGTAGCTTTCTCTCCAGTAAGGAGAATATTGAGCAACATGGTAGTAACATCACCAAATGTTACTCATCTCATAAGGCTTGCAGTCACAGCCACAGTGCCTTAGATCTTACACTGCAGATATACGCAATGAGGCTCAAGACATTGGAGTATTTATTCACACTCACATGCCAGGAAGTGCGCTGCTATTTTTCAGGAGGAATATAAGACAAAAGGAACATTTTTCAGGGTTAACGGTTAGGCACAATTAACATTTCTAGATGTTCCCTATAACGTAGCAAATCTTCCCTTTTTGTATCCTAGTCCACTTTAAAAAAAGAATTGGGCAAATCTTTAGTTAAAGCAGAAAATACATTTAAGGAACAATACTGTATACAGTAGCTCTGCTTTCCGTGGATACATAGGAAGAAAAACATGAGAAGGAGAAGCCTAAGAAATGCTTTAAAATTCTAATATCTGAAAGTGTTTTCTTTCACATGTTGTGGTTATAGCCTTGTAATTTGAAATACAGAATTGTTACAGTACACTTATCTTCAAAATTACATAGCATCATTAACTATTAAATCAAAACACATAGCATGTCAGCAGTTTATCAAAAGCAAATGTCAACAGCCACTCATTCAGTGGTAGTACAAAGTGTACCATATAACTAACGGAAGGCTCAAATTGTTTTAGAACATGGCATTTGCAGACTATGATCATGACCACTGCAGGTTATACTTAACAAAAATTCAATATGTATTTTTACTTGAAATTTCTCTTTTCTATATTCTGAGGCAAATATATTTTATTTCTTTTTTCCCTACTTTGAGTGTAAAGAAAAACTGAAAAATATTGCAAGTCCAAAATTCATAAATGTATTTATTTAAAAAAAATATCTGTAAAAAATTCTCCACATTTATTTATAGTCAGCAGATTCTATGTGTACTTTACTTTTCATCAAGACATTATGAGCACTGTATATAATGTATAGTAGATATTCACTATCTGCAATAAGTTTGCATGTTCTCCCTGTGCTTGTGTGGGTTTCCTCCGGGTACTCCAGTTTCCTCCCACACTCCAAAGGCATGCTGGAAGGATAATTGGCTCCAGTTTAAATTGGGTTGGATACACTGTATTGGTAAATGGTATAGTTAGTATACTCTATTGTAAGGTTCTGTTGTAGACCTAAAAGCTATTGGTTTAAGACTTCTTTACCAAATTAGGTTAGTGGACACGAGGAGTAAAATGTTATTAAACAGATCTACCAATAATATACAGTATACCTTAGCATAGCCAGGAGATTTACATAATTTACACACCTCTGTATGCTGGGGAAAATAATTTACTTCTAACACTTTCTAGGGTGGAGCATAAATGCCTATACATGCATCCTTCCTTGTAAAGTCTCACAAAAGTGCACAGCTTTGACCAGTTGTTCTATCCCCCTGGTTTACTGCAGGAATGTGAAGATTGTAGCTAGACCCTAAGCTTTCTCCCTGATTTAGGAGCTCGCTCACCCACACCCGGTATTTAAAGTTTTTTATTTTTATTTATTTATTTAATTATATATATAAAATAAAATAAAAAAATTTAAAAAGTTTTTT